CGTAATTAATAAGAAAATATTTAATAGCGGTAAGTTCTATAAAGAAAATAAATTAGGATTTTGTCATATTGAGCTAACCGGGGGCTACTTTAAATTGGATGTCAAAAGTTGTTTATTTATTTTCTACAATATTAGGCACGCAAGGCTAGAAAAACAGCTGTCAGGCTATATGCCAACAAGGAAAAGGAATGCCATGGGGAAGGGGCTTAGTTTAATTCAGGCTGTTTTAATGCTATTTTGAAATAGAGAATGATAATAGTTTAACTTTTTTTCATAGTTTTTTTTATTTTTTTTTTTATTTTTTTCCCCCAAAGCCCCAGTAGATAGTTGTATGTCATAGTTGCACATCCTTCTAGTTGCTGTATGTGGGACGCGGCCTCAGCATGGCCGGAGAAGTGGTGCGTCCATGCATGCCTGGGATCCAAACCCGGGCCGCCAGCAGCGGAGCGCGCGCACTTAACCGCTAAGCCACGGGCCGGCTCACACAGTTTAATTTTTATTCTATAACCTGCTTAACTGGATTTGCCATTGGAAGACCAGTGACAGTGTTTAGGGTCTTATTCTGTGGAGAGAGTAAAATATGAAGACCTGATCTAGGCCTCTGAGGACGCCTCATAACAGCACACTGATGTAGTGGGCCCCTCTTTGCTGGCCAAAGTTTGTAGTGTGACTTCCAAGATCAAGTCGCTGCAGAAGATTGGAATTTCGTACTGGGAGATATCTGAGCCCCAGTCTGTGCAGGCTCACAGGGGCTCCAGCATTAGCCCCTTTAGAATTAGTCACTGGGAGCCTGCTATTCATCTGGAAACCTGGGGCACTGTAAACAGATTCTTGCCTTACCACAGGGCCCCTTTTCAGAAAAGAAAGCCATTACAGGGCTGGGGATCGGCTTACACGGACACGTACTAATCTCAGCAATAATTCATTCCTGCCACACTATGATTCATGCTTTGTTTCCCACTCAGCCTTACGATGAACTCTGAAGATGAACTCTGAACTCAGAGGCCCATGCAACAAAGAGCCCAGGTCTATAATCAGGTGCTGTATTTAGCGCAATCATCTCTCTCTTATTACCACAGAAAGTTACTCCCACAAGGCTACATTCTTTGTCATAAATGTTTGGAGCTATCCTATATCTCATTGTTTCCTATACCAAGGACAAGCAAACATTCAAACAACAAACAAACAAATTTGTTTACTGAGATGCAGTAACAATCTATTTTGGCCAGGTAGTCATCTGTAAGAGAATTCTGTGGATACTAGGTGGAAGAATACAGAGCAGAAAGAGAGAAAATTGATTTGTTGAGTGGCTACTGTGGGCCAAGATGGATTTCAGGGCCGAACAGAACAAGATGGATTTCAGGGCCGAACAGAACAAGATGAACACGGTATCTGATGCAGAGAATTTACAGATGAGCTAGACAACTAGATGATTCAAGTAATAAGGAATGGTGGCAAGTGCTATGATAGAAGACGGAGTGTATGGAAGTTAACTTAATCTAGGGAATTGTGAAACGCTCCCAGAGAAAATGACATTTAAGCAAAGATCTGAAGGATGCATTAGGGTTGGGAAGTGGCAGCCAGGACACTAGGAAAAGAAAACAGCACATGCAAAGGTCTGGAGGGAAAAGGGAGGCCCAAACTTTGAAAAAGTGAGAAAAAATCCAGTTTTCTGTGTTATGGGATGAGGAGGAGGTGGGGGGGAGAGGGAGATAGGCAGGAGTGCGTGGCTGGGCTGGACTGGAGAAGGTCTTGTAAAGGATTAATGCAGGCACAAAATTGATTTCAATTTTACAACATCAGCCCTGAGGGCCTGTGTGGGTAAGAGAAAGGCAGAGAGAAAGCCTGGGTATAGGAAACTGGTTAGGAGTCATTTAAAAAGAAAGATGGGAGAAGGTTTGGGCTTAGGCAGAGGCTGTTGGAGAGAAGAAGTGGAAGGCCGGGAGAGATTTCGGAGGCAGAACATACAGGATTCCCGTCCTCCTCACAGGGAAATAATGGGCTTCATTCACGCTACAGAGGAATCTAAGTGAGAAGGAAACTATTTTTGGAAGAGGACTCAGATCCCATAACATCTTTATGAAGTCTCTCTGCTGTGCTAAACAATAATTTAGGTTTTAAGGTAGAAACAAACTGTAAAGTGCATTCAAAAGCAGAAGTGTCCTCTCAAAGCTGATTGGAATTTCAATTTTTTTGGCCACACTGGCTTTCTGTCCCATACTTCCCCTAAACCTAAGCATCCCCTGGGGGCTTGTAAACACACAAAGTCCCACGCCACTCCCCTGGGGAGTCCCATTCAGGAGGAACCTGTACTTTCCCAAACTGATCACCCCAAGAGATCCTTATTTCAGACACATTGGGGCGTTTCCAGGTCATGGGAGACATATTGATGATGTTTTCTTATATGCTATCTATATTGTGTGACTCCATTTATATAAAATTCTAGAAATTACAAGCTAATCTGTACTGACAGAAAGCAGATCAGCGGTTGCCTGGGGACAGGGGTGCTGGGAGAGAGGAGAGGACATTATCAAAGACAGAAGGAAACTTCTGTGGGAGATGGATATGTGTATTATCTTGATTATGGAGATGATTTCACAGGCGTACACGTCAAAACTTAGCAAATTTAGTATGTGCAGTGTGTCATGTGTCAATTATACCTCACTGATGTACAGTTTATTGTATGTCACTTATACCTCATTTTTAAAAATTAAAAAATACATCAGTAGCTTCCAATATTCAGTCTCAGAGAAAGTCTTAGACCAAATTTCACAATGCATTCATCTATTTATTAGTAAGCAGGTGCAAAAACAGTCTTTCAGCCTGTTCTGTAAATTTGATGAAGTCCCAGGTGTCTGTACATTTAGATACTCCAACAGCCCCTGTCAGGAAAGTTCACTGGAGGCCATATTCTAGCATAAGGATTAGCTAACCTTTGAGTTGGGTCAGGAGAGATGGAATCCTCTGAGGCAGCCTCTAAACACAGGGTAATTTACTAATCAAGCCTGGGGCAATATTCTTACAGGTATTGTTACTGGGCTATGGAACACAGTATGGCATTTCTTCAAAAAATTAAAAATAGAATTACCATATGATCCAGCAATTCTACTTCCAGAGAATTGAAAGCAGGGACTCCAAGAGATGTTAGTACACCCTTGTTCCTAGTAGGATTATCTGCTGTAGCCAAAAGGTGGAAGAAACCGAAGTCCGTGCATCAAAGGATGAATGGATAAACAAAATGTGGTATATCCATACAATGGAGTATTATTCAGCCTTAAAAAGGAAGGAAATTCTGATACATACTACAAATGGATGAACCTTGAGGACATTATGCTAAGTCAAAGAAGCCAGTAATAAATACTGTATGACTCCACTTACATGAAATATCTAGAATACTCAAATTCATTGACACAGAAAGTAGAATGGTAGTTGCCAGGGGATGGGATGGGGATTGGGGGGTGGGGAGCAAAAATGGGGAGTTATTGATAAATGGGTATAGTTTCAGTTTGGGAAGATGAAAAAGTTTTGGCAATGGATAATAGTGATGGTATTTAATTTACAGCCAATGGACTGTACACTTAAAAATGATAAAGATGGTAAATTCTATGCTATTGTGTATTTTACCACAATTTTTTAAAAATTGAAAAATTCTCAAGAAACGAAGGTAGTGATTCCTATTCCTGGTATTGTCCACTCTAGAATGCTCAAAATTATTTCAAACCAATATTTTATTAACTTTGATTTTTAGAGTTTTTTTTAACCAATTATAAAGATAAAACACTTCCATTGTAAGAAATATGGAAAATGAGAAAAATGTTGTTAAAGGATAATTTTTAGAAAAATGTGAAGTCATCTCACGAATATGAAATGAACACGTCAAAGATTTTATTTAACTCATCAATAAGGGAACCAGTATGATGTTACAACCGATTCAAAGGAGAATGCAAAGCACATAAATACATAGGCAAACAGGCATGCTAAAATGAACTTACAAATGAATGCCAACTGGTCAGTACCCATTAAGCAAAAATCATTTACAATCTACTGACACAAACTCATTTGCATTTCTATGGACAAAAATCATTTGCCATACTAGGTTTTCTACAACTTACAGAGTTGTAAAATAGCTCAAAGACAGTGAAAGCCGCAGGACCCTGTACAGTTAGATAAGCCTGAAAAGCGTGCTAGACAGGACACCCAGTAACACCCTCTCTTTTTTTGTCCGCTTCAACATGTCACAAGGCTGAAAAAAATAAAGTCCTCTGTAACTGGCTTTGATTCTTTGATTCTTTTGAGTGAAACTTAGTCCGGAGTATGCAGCCTTATTAAGCACATTAAGCAAGGTTTATTAAACAAATGCAACATTCTGGGACACGCTTCTCGACCAGGCGGACCCTCCGTGCACACCTGCCCAGCGCATCTCAGGCAGCTCGGGGAGCGGCGGCACCGCCCACTTGGCCGAGAGTGGACACAAGTCAACAGCCTAAAAGTTCAGAGGGGCCATCGCATCCCCGCTGGGCGTGGAGGGAGGAGAGGCTGCATCTGCAGGGCCCACGGGCCAGGACGGGAGAAAAACTTTAGCCACCCAGCTCCACCGAGAAGCAGGTCAACTGCGCACCCGAAGCCCGGCGCGGCCCGTCTGGGCGGCGGCGCGTCTTTCCTTCCCCGCCCCCCTGGCCGGGCCCCCGGAGCCGGGGGCGGGGCGACCTTTGCTGGGTCCGGGAGCAGCCTCGCCACAGGTGGGGTGTCAGCGCCGCCCGGAGCGGGGAGCTCGCCGCGCGAGGGGGCCGCGCCGCTTCCTGCTCGCCCCTCCCACGGGGACGGGTTTGGCCCCGGCGGCGGCCCCTGGACGCCGGCACCTCAACCCGCGGTTTCGGTCAGACCCGCCCGGGAGCCGGTTTCGATTAGAGCCGGCGGGAGGGCGGAGCGGCCTGACGCGAGGAGGTAACTAGGGGCGAGCGGCCCAGGGCGGCAAAGCGCGGCTGGGAGAGGGCGGGGCGCAGGAGCCCGGCCCTGCTGACGGCGGGGGGCCAGAGCCCGGGGCGCTCTCCCGGCGCGCGAGGGCCCGATCGCGAGGCCGCGGAGAAGGCAGCAGGTGCGCCGCCCGGAGGGGGCGCGGCGCGGCGCCCCGGGATGCGGACGCCGGTGGTGATGACGGTGGGCTTGGTGTTTGCGCCCTGCGGGCTGCTGCTCAACCTGACCAGCACGCTGACGCCCGGCTGGCGGCTGGTGAAGGGCTTCCTCTACGAGCCGGTGGACGTGGTGCTCTACCAGGGCCTTTGGGACATGTGTCGCGAGCAGAGCAGCCGCGAGCGCGAATGCGGCCAGGCCGACCAGTGGGGCTACTTCGCGGCCAAGCCAGTGCTCGTGGCGCGGGGGCTCATGGTGACGTCGCTGGCCATCACGGCCGTGGGGCTGCTGCTTGCGTCGCTCGGCGTGCGCTGCTGGCAGGACGAACCGCGCGCCGCGCTGGCGGGCCTCTCCGGCTTGGTGCTCTTCGCCGCGGGTCTCTTCAGCCTCATCCCGGTCTCCTGGTACAACCACTTCTTGGCAGACCGCGCCATCCTGCCCGCCCCGTCTAGCCCGGTCACGGTGGAGGTCAGCTACAGCCTGGTGCTGGGCTATCTGGGCAGCTGCCTGCTGCTGCTCGGCGGCTTCTCGCTGGCGCTCAGCTTCGCGCCCTGGTGCGAACAGCGCTGCCGCCGCCGCCGCAAGGCGCCCTCGGGCAGCGCGCGCCGCAGCAGCATCAGCACCGTGTACGTCGACTGTCCCGAGCCCGCGCTCACGCCCGCCATCAAGTACTACAGCGAGGGCCAGCACCGGCCGCGGCCCGTCGAGCTCGGCGCCGCCGGCACGTCCAAGGTGGGCTTCCCCATGCCGCGGCCGCCGCCCAAGGCCTACAGCGACCCCGAGGTGGACGTGCTCGACGGGGAGAAGGAGGCCGACTCCCGGGAAGCCTCCTCGCGCAGCACCCAGTCCTGCCACAGCCCGCTGCCCTGCGACTGCGACCTGTAGACGGCGCCCCGCAGCCTGCTCTGGCCGGGCTCTGTCAGGACGGAGGACTCGCCCCACCACGGCCCTACCTTGCACTTGTCTGTTACCTGGCCGCTGGAAACACCTGGCTCGGAGTCACAGCCCCAGACGCGTTCCTGTAACTTGTTTGGAGAGGGATCTTCCTTTCCTGTGGCCAGACTGGGCTCCTTGGACGGTTAGTTCAGGTTGGGTTTGGTTTTCTTTATATAGAGTTTAGCTTTCCTCTCCGGAGGAACCAGGGTCCTCTTAAGGAGTGATAAGCTTTTCATACTTTTAGCTGAAGGAGCTATAGAAAGGGTGACTTTTGCATCGTGTTAACCAGGGACAATAACACCAAAAAGTCAAAATCAGCAAATAGAAACTCAAAAATGATTTAACACCTTGAAACAACAATACTCTGAGATGCCCATGAACCATCAAGCATCAATTAAGCATTAATTTTTTTCTGCTGAATAATTCATTTTCATGCACACTCTCAAGAGACAAATATATTTCTGGCTATGTTTGAATGAGGCATTTAAATGTAGAGCCATGCAAATACCAGCAGCCTTAGTGGCTTTTATGGAAGGAAATAACCTGATTAACTCATATTTACGTTTCTTCATGTATAAATAGGATTTATCTTTTTTATCACTTCTTTTTGGTGTGAAAGTGACTCTTGAGGTCACTCCAGAGTTTCTCTTCTAGAAGCCAGAAGGAGAATGAAGGCACTAACGCTTTACTGTGCTATTCCTTGGCTACCTCACCCCGGACAGAGGGACTATAGATTAAATATTTGCTACAAAATGGGACCTGTTCATTATATTAGGTTAATGTACAGGTGTATATATCTCTTATTTATAAATAAAATTTGAAAACAAGAGTTTCAGTTTACCTACAAAAGCTTTTTTGTCTCCCTTACAACCTTTGGGAGTTTAAGCATTCATTACTAACAATTTCCTGGCTGCCTCAGTACTGTTTCTGAAATCTAGCACTCAAATCTTTGCACCTCTTAGCATAAGATTACTAAAAGAAGCCAACAGGCCCCACTTAAATCCCTGAGTGCTTTATTTTCAGGTTCCTGCTGTTTTCCGTACAAAGCCAAGTCTATTGCTGAGAAAACTAGAAGCACCAGTTTCCATACGAGGTAGAACTAGAAATCTTTTCCTCTTGTAACAGTGGAGCCTAAAGTCACAAGTAGGCAGCTATGAGTTCTATGAGTGGGAGGCTTTAATTCCAGGTGGTTGATGTAAATGTGCCTTTACAGGAACTGAATCTCATCTTTAAAACCTGCTGCTGGTATCCAATTCAGAGGTATGTTCAGTTCAGTAAGCGCTGATAACAGAGAGCTGTAGTAAAACTAACTAAACAGCACAAGCTGCTGGTTAGCAGTGGAAGGGACAACGTAGATTCACTTCCCTTACAATTTTGTACTGGAATCACCTGTTTCTATCGTTTTGCAACCAAACTTGAATGTGCCATCGTATCAGGTGGGGATCTCTTTCAAATGCAAATTCTGATTCAGTAGGTCTGGAGTGAGGTCTGAAACTGATTCCCTAACTAGCTCCCGGGAGAAGATGCCAATGCTGAAGGTTCATGGCCCCCACTGGGGGGCTGCAAGGTTTTCCTTGAGACTATGCCTCACGCAAATTTCAGTCCCAACTGGCAGCAATCACACCTTTGAGAGTCTGCCGCCTAAATGAGTTAGGGGACTTGCTCTAGGGAACAGGACCAGATGGAGAAAAGGCAATGCTGCTTTTTTCAGCTAACACTTTAAAAGGCAGAGATTAGGGGCCTGGGAAGTCAGCACCTAGCAGACAACATAAAGCTATTGGGATTCTGGCAGGTACCGAATCGACTGAATCTTGCCTGCATCATAATTCCAAATATTTCTGGGGAAGCCTTAAGAAAAACAAAATCGATGTTTTGTATAGTTTCACTTTTACTTCTCCTCAATTATTCTCCACTGGCTTATATTCAAAACACTTCCTCTCTGGTGACTAAGATTTTGTTGCCCTATCAACAAAAATAAACCCAAAATTCCCTTTAAAAAATACAAACTTCTTTTTGCTGTAATAGTATGCGAGATGGCCTGGAAATAAACTCCTGCATCAGGCCGAGATTTGTTCTTGGCTTGAGGGTCGTTCTCTGACAGCAGCACAAACTGACAATGGTCTTGAAACTCAAGATGCTGGAGGAGGCCGGAGCCTCAGGACTAGCTGTTGTGGGCGAGAACTTATCCTGAACTTGATACTAGCCAAGCAAGCACAGTGGACGCCAATGTGAAACAGCACTGCTGCCTTGCCTCAAGCCCTGACACCTATGAGGTGCCATCACAACTCATTTTTAATAATCCTAATCACATAGTAAGTATGTGTCCCCATTTAATGGGTGAAGTCTTTTCAAGATTACTCAAGTTATGCCTGGAGGACCAAGGGATCTGTGACAGCAGAGCAGACACTGCATTAACACAGCACCTGCTCTCTCCACTCACCAACCTGCCTCTGATCTAGATGCATGCCCTCACTAAGGAGGGGTGAGGTTTTTAGCACACCAGCTGTTGATCCCTTGCGGAGGCTGGGGGAGGTGCTGTCAGAGATGCTTCCACAACCACCCTCCTCTCTCCATTGCCTAGATCATTCATTGGGTAAGTTTTGGGGCACTTGTCAGCACATTTGTGGACAGCTTGGAAAGCAAAACCATACCAGGCCCTGTCTTTGTGGAACTTACATACTCTAGCGTGAGAGCTATCTACAAGGAAAAATGAAGAATAAACAACCAGGGTCACAGGCTGGAGGAAAAGGGGTGATATTTTAGGAAAGGTGATCAGGAAGGAGGTGATACTCAAGCAGAGAACTGAAAGAAGGGAGAGGGGAGCATTCCAAGCAGAGAGAACAGCCAACTCCAAGTTCCCGCTAGAGAAATATTAGAGAAAACAGTTGGGCATAGCATCTTGGTACCAGCATGTTTTGTTTCAGCTTCACTCTAGAACAGATAGTACGGACAGGAAGAAGCTGATGGTACAGTTGAGTGAGGCTGGGGAAATCTTGTCACCTACGCTTTATCAGGCTAATAGCTGCTTCAGGAGGGAATAGAGTCTGATACAAAGTCAATCTGTCTTATAGGATATTTTTCAGAATCAAATATAAACAATTTGATATATGAATAGCTGGTGAGGAACATTCTATTCTGTCAGTGTATAGACAGCCCCAAGATGCCACAGGCAGAGAAAGAAATTAGAACCTCAGAGCCCCATCTCATCCCCAGAGTGCTGGAAAAGGTTAGTAACCAGGATCTCTCCCCCCATATCCATGCCGCATCTTCACTCGGACCTTCCTAAAATGAAGGGCTGCCATTCATCTCCGCAAAACCCTCAGGATCTTCCTTATGTACCATCTACTCTTAGTTTCAATTCCCCTCATGATGTGGCCGAGGCCTGTGTTTTCATCCTCATTACTTTCTCCCACATGTGTACCCTAAACTAATCCTTTCCCCCATCAGCTTAGAGGAATCATATTTGAACATATCCTTTAAATGCTCAAATGTGTCTTGAAATGTGTCTAATTTTCTTGACCTCTAAATTGAAGGTAAGGGCATGGATGGTTTCTGTTTATTTTTATAGTCCTGGAATAGGTGCTAACAGTGCCTGTTAGCAATTTAATAAGTTACCTCTAAAGGCTGTTTCTGTACCCAAGCCATTCCTCACCTTACACACAACTTGTCATGTACACAGAAAGTAATTTGTGGCCTGAGGTCACTGGCCCAAAACTCAGGGGTGGAGGCACACTGACGATGGTGAGGAATAGGCCACGAGATCAAGTTTGTGAATCGAATTGATTTGCTTACAACGACTAGCCAAGCACAACTGATGTCTCCTCTATTCTCAAGACACTATGGATGAGATCTTTCTCCCTGTGCAGGAAGGGAGGAAAATATGGACTCAGTTGTTACTTCAAATAAAAACTTGTGTAGGGGCCGGCCGCTGGCACAAGCAGTTAAGTGCGCACGCTCCACTGTGGCGGCCTGGGGTTCGCCGGTTCAGGTCCCGGGCGCGCACCGACGCACTGCTTGTCAAGCCATGCTGTGGCAGCATCCCACATAAAGTGGAGAAAGATGGACACAGATGTTAGCCCAGGGTCAGTCTTCCTCAGCAAAAAAAGAGGAGGATTGGCAGATGTTAGCACAGGGCTGATCTTCCTCACACACACAAAAAAATCGTGTGTAATTCTCACCCAGTCCTCCCAACAACCTCCACCCACATTCCACTCTCTCCTCACTGCACACAAGAAAATGACCTCCTCCAGCAAAGCTTCATTAAGCAGGACTGAACACAGGAAAACAAGGTTTAATTTGTTCAAATCAAGGGAAATAGAGACAAGGCTCCGGTGGGGGAGGGTGGGGGAGACAGTGCTGTCTAGGGGGCTTGATTCTCCAGTGAAGGCATGTGGAGAGAACGGCTTAAGATGATTTAAGCACCTCTCTACCACACTCTTGTCTAACTGGCTGGTCCAAATTATACACAGACTCGCACAGGGAGGAGAGCAAGCGGCCTCACTTGTAGCCAGCATGACAACCCTGCAAGGTAGGTGCGTTCACAGGTACCAAGAACCTTTGCCAAGCGTGTGACCAATGCCCCTGCCACTCCCCCACCCTCCACCCCCATGGTTGCTGTTCAAGTCAGTGCCTCCCCAAGAGCTGCCACTCACCACAGAGCTTCAGGAAACTAGTCACTGCCATTTTTCCAGAACTTGGGTGAAATACGCCTCCTACTACCTTAAGCTCTGCCCTTGCTGGACTTCAGTCTCCTCAGCCATAAAACTGGGAGGACTGGATTAGATGTTGTCAGAGGGCCTTTCTCAATGTAATATTCTGAGAGTCAAGGTTAAGAATTAGATGAGGCTGAGAGGAGAGACCTGAAATTTGAACACTGAAGGCTGGGGAAGCTGATTGACCCATAAAATTAGTAACTGGTCTGATCTCAACAAACTCCATGTTTAGTTCTAGATTTCTCTGAATTTCATGAGCCTCCCAGCAGTTGAAATGGTAGGAACTTGTTACATCCTTCCCGTCATCCATGACCCCTCTCTTGTTTGTTTCCCAAAGAGAATAAGTATAAAGCGCTTTATTTAATTCTTCATTGCTAGCAATAGACACAAAACGTCGGGCTCTTTGAGCCTAACACATGAACCAATTAACTTTTCCAAAGCTCATTATTCTTCCAGAAGAAAACTCAAACCTCTCACCAGGTAACAGAAGTGGAGTTTCTATAAGGAAATTCAAATTTTATATCTGCTCTAGGCTTACGGCTCCATCTATTAGGTGGACAGAAATTAGGTAAGAAATTAACACCTAATATAGAAATTATCACAATAGAAGGCTCTTATAGTTGATAACAAGACATTGCTCCAAACAGATAAGGTTATGAAATTGACATATTAAAATCAATTTAGGGGATAGGCATGGTTCGGAATTGTTAAGTCTAAAATCTTGGGGCTGGCCCTGTGGCATAGTGGTTGAGTTCAGCGAGCTCCACTTCAGCAGCCCGGGTTCAGAACCCTCGGCGTGGACCTACACCACTCGTCAGCCATGCTATGGCAGCAACCCACATATAAAATAGAAGAAGACTGGCACAGATGTTAGCTCAGGGCTAATCTTCCTCAAGCAAAAAAAAAGAAAAAAGGAAGACTGGTAACAGACGTTAGCTCAGGGTGAATCCTCCTCAGCAAAAAAAAAAAAAAAAAATCAAGTATCTATTTATAAAATTAAGTCTTTCTGGTGACAAGGACATTCAGAAGTGTTTTGTAAATTCTTGACTAGGGAAAGCATAACAGGATATTAAAGTAGATTCAGGTGGGATAATACTTAGGCATACATTCATAAGAGAACAAGATTAAAGATTATTTAAGCCAGGGGTGGGGGCTGGGGAGAAGGGGTTTGTTGTTTCCCAAACAGGAAATGGGGCTGGCTGGGTAGAAGGGTGGGGCTGAGAGTAATTTGACAGCAGAGAGCCTGGGAAGTAGACTAAATGAGACAGAATACACGTTCAGGAAGTGTGGTGGAGGCTTAAGATCTCGAGGAGGCAACGGCGGTGGCTTAACTGTGACGCGAGAAAGCGGTAATACTGTCGTACATCGTTTGCACATGCTTTTGAGCTGGATTCTTTTGTGCCATTGTTATGCACTTTTGCACAGATAGAGGCAGAGGCTTGCCAAGGGCAAACCTGGCAGTGAGGATGGCTCTCAGGAGAGGCAGCGAGAGAAACCTAAGACTCACCCTGTGCCTGAGAGGGGTCTGGGGTACTCTGGTGCTGAAATGGTTTCTCTCAAATATAGCTGATCCTCTGAGGCAATTTAATGATTCTTATGTGTCTCCCAGCCTCAGGAAAGGCAGAGCCCCCAGCATTTGTTCTTCAGGTCAAGCTGATCTGTACTCGGGAATTTTTATATGTGATTGCAAAGCACAGTTGATTTTATGAACTATACCCACAGTAACAAGCCTAGGACTTCTCTTTATGCTTGGCAGCCTACAGGCTCATTCTGCAAGAAACTAAATATGAATAGTCTAGAAAAGATCCAAGCAAGAAAAGTCTGGCAAGTTGTGTTTATTATAATTTGGACTCATGTTATCAGTCTCAGGTGCTATGCTTAGCAATATACAGGCATTTTTGTATTTTCATTCAGTACCCAATTGGCCTGATGTGGGTTCTGTTAATTCCATTTTTATCAATGGGAAAACAGTTTCATGATTAAGTGATTTGCCTAAGATTGCTACTATCGAACTTCTGCTGTGTTACCCATCTCCCATCACAGATTCAGTGCCCTTGATTCCTTATGTAGGTGTGAATAAAGTGGTGATCCAGGAAGACAAGCAGAGTTATTAGCAATCAAAGGGGCTTCAGGACCTAAGTTGCATCTGCATGTTTCCCCAGCAGGCAAGAGCTAGTGGAGATGAATCCTGGTCCATACCTATAACTCTGTATGTTGCTGCCCACAGTATCCACCCACTTTCCTTCAGAGAAGTCATAGACAAATCATTTATTTGCCTGAGTGTCTACATCTGTAAAGTACATTCACCTGTCCTGAGTTTTAGACTCAACTGAGAGCATAAGAAAAACACTGTTTTATAAATTTTCAGCAGAAGTGAGAACTAATTTTGCACTAAAATGTATCAGAGAGGAAGTGGTAAGGAACACTTGAACATTTACTACACTAAAGAAACTTGACCTTTACCCTAAAAGGTAAAGATTCAAGAGAGATCATTCCTTTTTGAGAAATGGGGAAACAGGTTCATAGAGATTAACGAGCTCAAAGTTAGTGTCAGAGCCAAGATTCAAATCCAGAACTTCTGGCTAGTACTGGGCCAGGCACCCTGGGATTAGAAAGCTTCTCTGGATGAATAATAACCTAAATTACACGGAAACTGTATTGAAATCTGACCCTATAAATAGTCAGTTTTTGAACACTCACAAAACCAGATAACCTCCTCCAATTTAAAAAGCCGTTATTTTAATAAGTAACCATTTACCACAAACTGTTACAGAAGTTGAAACAGTACGTCATGAAATGTATAAACAATTTTTATTGAGATATTTCAGCTCCTTTTTTACCAGGTTAGTCAGACTGTAAAGAGGTTAACAATTCCTGTAGGAAGAGAGACTTGAAGTTAGAGAACACGGACTACATTAAAACAAAGCAAAAACACGGAGAGGGCTGAGCTATGCAGAAGTTAGCAGAGATTACAGGGGGATGTAAATTTTAGGGGTGACTCCAACTAACCCTAATAACATCCCACCTCAAGGTAGGATTGAGCCCCCTGTGGAAGGCCACCAAAAGCTGAATTTCTTGATTACTATTTCACGCACGTGTCACTTTGGTTTGAACAACAAAAAACTGAACAGCGTCTAAAGACAAAAAAGTTACTGAGTATTCGTTTGATACACATAATAGCATCATTCACCAATAACAAAAATATCTTGAGGTTAACACTGCCTACTTTTACCCAGCTAGGATTTTCCAGAAGGGGCGTTCTTTAACTGTTATCTCACAATCTGTTTTCCTCAAAGACACTTCCTAGGCATACCTGTTCATCATAGGCTTCATTGACAAAAGTCTCACTATTCATTAGATTCACTTCTTCTGGGTCATTTTCTTTATAGCAGGTCGAATTTCTTGATGATGCTGTACGGTTTCTAGAAATCAAAGAAAAAGTCAAAAGAGTGGTTCATTGAGGTAGAAGCTGGGATTGGGCTATGGTTAGAAATGGCCAACTCCTCCCCTATCAAAAGTTATTGTTATGAGAACTATGCCCTGTTTTAATTCTCTTTAATAAAGCAAATGACCTAGAATGGGCAATACTTGAGTTAATTCTGATTTGTTTACAATTATGATTTACTAGGCATTCACTTAACTTCCAAAATGATGTATCTTCTCAACTGAGGGAAACTAGGTAATTGGAGTCAGTGAGAACTGAACCCAAGGAGAGGTAAGTGGCAATTGGACACAGGTGAGTTAGGAAAGAAGGTTACTGTAGTAGAAAGACCTGCGTGGACAACCAGAAGCCCAAGGGGAGCATCTCAGTTTATCTTAACATTAACCAGTCAGCTATTATTAACTAGTGTTACTTTAGGCAAAGACATATCATTTGTCCTGGCCTTTTCTTCAGTCTGTGATGTGAAACCTGGACAGAGATGTAACTTTTCCTGTAATGTCCCTTCACAATGTTTATCTAATCAATTTCTTCAGTTACTGTATCTTCCGACTCTAAAGCTTATTTTGTCATCATTCCTACTCTAAATCATCATTTTGTTATTCTCGTTTGTCTCTTGAATCCAATGACTCTCTTGCTCATGGACAAAACTTAATGCTTTTGCCTTAAATCTTTCCTGAGTTTATTTCACTTCCTTTTATGGGCTGAACTGTGTCCCCTCCAAATTCATATGTGGAAGTCTTATCCCTGCAGTAGAATGTGACCATAGAATGTGACCTTAGAATGTGACCATAATTGGAGATGGGGTCTTTAAAGAGGTAATTATGTTAAAATGATATCATTAATTTGGGCACTAATCTGACTGGTGTCCTTATAAGAGATTAGGACACAGCCACGTACAGACGCAAGACCATGTGAAGATACAGGGGGTGGGCCGGCCCTGTGGCTTAGTAGTTAAGTGTGTTCGCTCTGCTACTGACGGCCCAGGTTCGGATCCCGGGCGCACACCGACGCACCACGTCTCCAGCCATGCTGAGGCCATGTCCCACATACAGCAACTAGAAGGATGTGCAACTATGACATACAACTATCTACTGGGGCTTTGGGGGAAAAAAAGGAGGAGGATTGGCAATAGATGTTAGCTCAGAGCTGGTCTTCCTCAGCAAAAAAGAGGAGGATTAGCACGGATCTTAGCTCAGGGCTGATCTTCCTCAAAAAAAAAAAAAAAAAAATACAGGGGGAAGTCTGCATCTTCAACTCAAGGAGAAACCAACCCTCAGCCTCAGAAGAAACCAGTGCTACTGACATATTGAATTCAGTCTCCAGCCTCCAGAACTATGAGAAAATAAATTTCTGTTGTTTACGACACTCAGTCTGTGGTATTTGTTATAGCAGCCCTAGCAAACTAATATACCTCGTAACAAATTTTTCCTCCAAACTATCATTGGCACTAACGCTGCCTCATTGGAAGGGAATCTTCTCACTTCATCCGAGATTGTGCCACTGACTACCGTTGAGGCAGATTTTACCTGCCCCTTACAATAATATTGTTTGCCCCAGGTCTCACTCAAAGAGATGGTTCCAATTATTATTTTTCCAGGTCATCTAACAGGTGAGGCTGCTTCATCACCTAAATCCTTCCTCAGAGGACAAATTTCTAGAGTGGACTCAGACCTCCAACCCCATTAATCTTATTTTAATCTTATTTTATAAGCCAACTTTGGAATAAAACTCTCCCATGAGGACGTTAATAGCTGCTCACCTTTTTAATTCATGTTCTCTTCTGAAATATACATATGCTGCCAGAGCTGCCAGAACAACTGATAAAGCAATAATTAAGCTGAGGGCGATGTAGCCAGGAGAAGGTCCATGCACTGCCTCTTCACAGAACTCTCCACCATATTCCATCAGACAGCTGCATTTTCTCAGCTCTCCTTCCATTGTACAGATTCCCCTCCCATTACAGAAATCGCTGCTACAGGGCAGATGTTTTGCCCTCTGTGAGTCCTGGGGCTGAACAGACTCCCCTCTTTCCTTGGTTTCTGAGGTCTTGCTTTCTCTAGCAGGAATCGGAGGGATCAGTGTTTTCCTGACAGGATAATTCATCCCTTCTGGATCCAGATAGCTAGCCTCGGTGGACTTGGTGGCCTGGAGAGGTTGAGCAGCTTTTGGAGTCAACATTTTTCCAGCCTCTGGCTTTTCAGGTGTTGGTGTTGAATGGGTTTTATCTGGATAGGTACCTACAAAAACAGTAGGTATGAGTTTGGCTGTATACACATATCTGTCAGTTAAGAACTACAGTCATGCACCACACAATGACGTTTCAGTCAACAATGAACCGCATATACGACAATGGTCCCATAAGATTAGTACCATATAACTGGGACTGTAGTAGGCTATACCATCTAGGTTTGTGTAAGTATATTCTATGATGTTCACACAAGGTTAAAATCACCTAACAACACATTTCCCAGAACGTATCCCCATCGTTAGGTGACACGTGATTGTATTTCAGAAGAATTCAGACTAAGAATTCTAGTGGACTTAACCAGATCAGTTTGAATTTATGAAATCATAATCACTACCATTACTCTTGGTCAAACAAAAAACTATTAAAAGCTTATATAGGGGCTGGCCCGGTGGCGTAGTGTTTAAGTTTGTACGCTCCGCTTTAGTGGCCCAAGGTTCATGGGTTTGGATCCCGGGCGCACACCTACACACCACTCATCAAACCATGCTGTGGCAGTGGCCCATATACAAAGTAGAGGAAGACTGGCACAGATGTTAGCCCAGGGACCATCTTTTCCAAGCAAAGAGGAGGATTAGCAACAGATATTATCTCAGAGCTAATCTTCCTCAGCAAAAAAAAAAAAAAAAAAAAAGCTTACATAAAAAACTGCATATCTTAAGGTGCTTAAAATTTTTGGTCTCAGGACCAGTGTAGTCTATCACACCAATCTATTTTTAAATGATGGTATGCACAGTTTTAGCCAAGGTAATTTCCATCCATTACAAAAATGTTTGATTCTATAAGGATTTGTGTGGTAGATCTAAGGAGTAAATATCTAGACTAGAAAGACTTTTAAGATGTAAGTTTATCCATAAATATTTAAAGATTTTATTTATTTTATTTTTTCCCCCCAAAGCCCCAGTAGATAGTTGTATGTCATAGCTGCACATCCTTCAGTTGCTGTATGTGGAACTCGGCCTCAGGATGGAGGGAGAAGTGGTGCCTCGATGCGCACCCGGGATCCGAACCCGGGCCACCAGCATTGCAGCGCGCGCACTTAACCACCAAGCCACAGGGCCGGCCCTATCCATAAATATTTAAAATTTAAGTTCAAGTAAATGGTAGGTTTAGTGAGATATACAAGTTGCAAATATTGAACCAGATTTGGTGGCAGTGGTGGGAGGGGCACATATAAGACAGGGAGTAGGCAACAGGGTGCTTCTAACCAAAGAGGAATCCAAAAGTTAAGTTTGTGTTTAAGGCATTTCACGATATTCTCCATCATTATTGGCACAAGTATTCATCACGTGAACACTGAAGACCAAACTACCTGGAGGGAAGACTGCAGTCTTAGTGATAAAACTGCTTCTTCCCTCTGCCTGAAGCTGGTATAATAGGAGGGTTTCCACTCCTTGATGGTAAGGTATATCCAGAGGAAGCCACTCGAACTTTATACACCCAGTACCATCCCCCGCCCCTCAAAAAAGTCAGAGTGAAGTCATTATTAAGGAGCAGAGCCAACTCTTGGGCCTACGTCATCAGGAATGGGAGAGCAAGTGAAAGTATGTTAGGTTTTTGGTTTAGTTTTAAAACAAAGTGGTGAAGGCAACTAATTTATCACTCATTGGCCCCCACCCCCCTTCCTTGAGTCACTGCAACACAGGGATTTCAACAAAACCACCCTCACTTGCTGGACCATAGAATCAACGCTGGGAATCAATATCCATTATCTTTCCTATTGATGATGAAGTGATTAGTGGTAATAACTGGTCTTCCAGCTAGTCAGGTTTTAGGAAGATGAGAATTTAAATTGAGAAGTCAAGCAGGACTCTTCACTGTAAGATTCCTTTCCCAAATCTTCTTCTTTACTGGTTATGACCAGTTTCAATGCTGAGTTCTACAGCTTACATGACTTGGATATCAATGGAGCTGTAGATTTAGAATTAGAGGATGGTGGTTACAGCAGAATTAGATATTATGGTCACTCAGCTGGCTGGTCATGACAACACCTTTCTATGAAGGCACTCTTGGGCACAGTATTTCTATAACAACTGTCTACAGCTAGCATTTAAGTACTAACATGACAGTGTTATGTACTAATATGACAGCTTTATACACATTCTCTGTATTCCTTAACTCTAGAAGGTAGAAAATGCTATTTCCATATTAGAAAGGGGGAACCAAGATAGGTCAAATAGTTTGCCCAACCTCCTTCCCCTGGGCTGTGCTCACTATGTGATCAATTTAAATTAAATGGATGCTCTTTCAGACAACATACAAACTATCTAGGCCTTTGGAACTATCATACTGCCAATTCTAAAATCAAATCAGAAGGCACATTAAGTTTCCACAAGGAGTCCACAAAATCTATATCTAATTGCCCATAGTTAGAATTTCACATTGTTTAGTTTAAAAAGTACACAGTGATAACGAGGTAACAATTTAGAGCATAAAAGCTTGAAGAATATTGCAGAACTAGATGTTACTAAAAGTAAATTATTCCTGGTGATCAATAGTGGGTCCTGGGTAGGAGTTACTCACAGCCCATTTCGTCAGATCCATCCAGACAGTCTGCACGACCATCACACACTTGCTCCATGGGAATGCATTTCTGACCATCCTTACAGGACTGTAATGGCGCAGAGCATCGGGCAGCTTCAAGACATTTGTTTGTGTCAGCCAAGTAGTATCCACCAGGACATTTACAAGTCCGTCCTTCAGGGTTTGGTAAACAAATATGGCTACATCCTCCATTGTCTTTTGAGCAGCTGTGACTACCTGTGGATCCCCCCAGTCCCCCCGCAAAAATGTTGATTTAGATTGTTTCAGAAGGGTCTTCTGCAAATTTTCTGCAAATAGACTATCAGAGTTACAGGCTCCAGATGTTTTCCCAGAGTAGATAGCTTTTCAGTTCAATTCCTCTTAGTCAACTAGGTATCAAGTGATTGGTCATTCCTCTTCATGGATAAGGATGGCTTTAGAAGCCTAGGAGTTCAGGTACGGGACCAACTTAAGAAAAACTGAGATGAACTCCAGCTCATTCAAGACCCCACCGTGAGTTTTCTTCTCCCCTCACACCATGCATCCAACATCAGAACTATAAGGGCCTTAGAAATAAAGCTCTCTTTAGATGAAAACATGGAGGCTGTGGTCTCTATTAGTCTTCTGAGTCATAGATACAGAGAACAGATTGGTGGTTGCCAGAGGCAGAAGGTGAGGAGTAGGGGAAAAAAGTCTGATTAAGTCAGCCATGTATAGCTTCCCATAGTTCTCCAAGGCTTATATCTTAAGCTTTAACTTCTAGTGAGGTTTTACCTCTTGAGATATTCCAGGAATTGGGGAATAGGTATGTACGTAGTACAGATAAAATGTACTTTAAGGGTGAGAGGGACCCTCCTTCTGGTTCTCAGAACTAAGTCACAGATTATCATCACTTGGGTGACCATTTATCACACTGAGGAATTCTAAAAAGTTTCTCTCCACAGAGCCAAGACTCTAGGAGTTTAAGCCTGACTAACACCAGTTTATAAAGTTTCACTTTCAAAAACAAAGCAATGGAGCATTATTCCCTTAAGACTAATATACTCGTCACACATGGTAGTTGTAGGTGTGGTTAATTACTTGAGCTCACATTGTTGGTGTTAATCTCAACTAGGAACAGATTTCATCTATTACTACTTTAACTAAACCCATCATCATCTTCCCCAAACATTCTGTTAGGCACTCCATTTGTGTCTATAAGAAAGGTGAGGAAAAACATCTGAGCACCCCCGAGTTGATATTTCAAGGATTAATTAACATCACAAGTAGACACGAGTGACAATAAGTAGAATGAAAACTAGTTCCACTTAGGAGCTAAAAGGGGATTTTGATTATACCACAGTTGTAATTCAGTGTACAATAATAGAACTGAAAATAGAACCCAAGTATACCAAACCCCAGCCCAATATTTTTGCCACTATTGTGTCTCCTAGATAAGTAACAGGACTAGTTATCTACCAGAACCAGACTGTATATAACTGCATGAAGACAAGAGAGTTATGCAGGTCTATAGGAATTTGCCAAAGACATATTTTAATTAAATGGGAAACACAAAGATATTTCAAGGAGATATTGCAGGATGGAGTACCATCTTCATGGGGAAGTTCAGTAGACTTCAGTGTTGTCATAATCATTGCAATGCTGCTTACCCTGTTGATTAAGTGTACTATACACTTTTAAATCCACAATCTTCTGGTCTACCTGGAAACACCAGTTTTCTGAAAGTTCTGCCTTGCTGTACCAAACTTTAGTGATTTGGTCTGAAACAAAAGCCAGTGAACAGCCATTAGCAAAAGTGAAATTGTACCTTAAGATAACTTCCTAGGCAAAGAACACCGCTCAGTATGAAAACTGTAAACCATCTGCATAAACTCCAGTTGAATAACACGAGTTTTAAAGAAGAGACATATATTTTTCTTAATCTTGTTTCTGGGAGGGAACTTCAAGATAAATAAAAAACAGATAGCCTTTCTCCAAAATAAAGTCAGATGTCAGTTATGTTAAGTACATTCATATATGCCCAGATACATAAAGATAGAAAATTAGGATATGAGACACTTAAATGCAGCCCATGTAATTGATGGGTAATGATTTTAAACATTGTTATAGAACAACATTTCTGAAAATGGCTTATCTGCAAAAAAGTCACCTGGGGATCTTAAAATAGATGGCAAAGGTCTCACCACATACCTAATAAATTAGCATCTCTGGGGTAGGATCTGACAACTTGTTTTTGTAATTCTGGTATGGCCAACCCAACTAGTCAGTGGACTGGCATTTGGAAATATAAAGAGATAGATATATTTTAAACAGCATTTTCCAGTTTTATCAAATCTAGACTCTAGCCAGAAAAAATATACTAGAACACTGTGGTTTACAACAATCTCTGTGAATGCTAGAAATACCCTGCAAGTATAGTATGCTCTGTAATTCACCCAGCACTTTCCTGTGTATTACAGTCACCTGAGACAGTTACTGTCCTCATTTTAGGTAAGGTATTACAGCTACTAACTGACAGGGTAATTATACCACCTCATTACAATACCTGGCCCAGTTCTCTCTGCACCATACCATGGTGTCCTCTAACACAGAGAGCCTCCTATGAAAGGCAGAATGGGATCAAGTGTATTCATATATAAAGAATAACCAAAAAAGTAAAAGCTCCCTCAAATCACAGAATCACTGTTACACATACATGTTAGATTAGCAAGTCACTTAGCTATTCTTCCAAAAGAAACACGCTGCCAAAGATGAATGCTAAGCAGTAGCAGATTTGCTTTAGATATCCAGGAGTAAATTCAGATCACAAAGATATTCAGATGTAGAATTAAGACCTACCATCATCAATTGTTGTCCAGAACATCATGCTTTGGCCATACGTAAAGAGGTTAAGGCCCTGAATGCCTCTGCGGTCTACTCTGTATCTAGAGCCATCTTGTTGAATACTTTCTATGAGTCCTCTCCCTAGAGAGAGAGGGTCAGTTAATTTCACTTAGCCCAAACAGCTGTACTCCATCCTGTAGCTCTTTTTGTCCTGCCTCCCCTCCTAGAGGACACTGTCTGCCATGCATTCTTTAAAGGCCAGTTTTTCTTCATTCATTCTGCTCTAACAGTGATAACAAATATGCATGAGCAAATCTTTGTGTAAGTTCTCGATTTTATTCCTTCACAAAAGGGCAACTGCATAACTGAGGGCTATGATTTGTTACTCAGGTTGGGAAATGATTGTATTTGTTTGGAAGGTCATTCAAAAAATGTAAACTCAGACTTAAAAGCTATTTGAAGTTATGGCTGAAGACCAGACAGCAGAACATCACTATTTGACTCTGGCCAAGGTCCCTCAGACTCACATTTAGGATGTAGATAATCGCTTACCAGTATCAGCCCAGTACACTCGGGTCCCTGAATCCGAAAAGGTCAGGCCCACAGGGACCTGGGATTTCTGCCACAGCACCTTCCTCCTGCTGCCATCCATGGAGGCACATTCAATGCTGGAGCCACGCTTACCGTCATCCTGGGAACCCCGGTCCACAAAGCACATGATCGCGGCAGGCGGGTGGAGCACAACAGAGGTTGGGCCGTAAAGATTTTCGCTGAACAGGCCAGTGGAGTACTGGCCTTTTGGGGAAGCTACATTGATGTGAGGATTCTCACTGTCAATCCAATATATGTTTCCACTCAACCAGTCCACAGCAAGGTCGATCACTGTCCCTTCCACAGATATGATTTTCCTCCAAGAGAGCTTTCCAGATTCTTTGAGCCTCAGTAGTCTGATATCACCATTATTCAACTCTGAAAGGTAGAGAGCCTTTTCCTGGACAAGGTAGTCCATTGAGGCAAGCTGGTTCACATTGGTAAAGGGAAGTATCCTATGTACTGGTAAAGTTGCTTGTCCTAGTGTAGCTTCTAGATTTTTCAGATAAATCTATGGAAAAAAATTAGATAGATGGCACCAGTTGAGTCTAGTCTAATTCTTCATCTTGATTTTGCATTCACGTTAAGATACTCAAGTTCAGATTTCATATATTCTATCTTCTAAAAGCAGATAGCAGTTATTTCTCTCCCTTCCTGGAACTTCAAACACTTAAAATTCCTTGAATCCATGAGTTTTGAAGATTTACTCCTCTGTTAAAGGCCCTCCCCTTTATTTTGTAAATTTATTTTTACTGAGATACAATTGATATATAACACTGTGTAAGTTTAAGGTGTGTAATGTTGATTTGATACATTTATATATTAAGCGCCTTCTCCTTTAAATGAGACTCCACTATTAAGATCTTACTGAAACTGATCCATCTTCTACCCCAAAATGTGTTTTGTCATTTTAAAATGCCAAAGTTGACAAGTCCTCTGCATGGTAGAAGTTAGGAGTGACTTACTTGTTAGCAGCCTTTATCCTCCTACAATTTAAGGAAAGTTCCCTTGTAAAATGTACCTACCCCTCAGGCTAGAACCCAGCTGAGCTGCTTGTATTTGGAATTACTCTACATCATCAGCTAGCTACTTGGAGAACTAAACAAAGTTAAACACACTCTCAGATCCCTAACCTCACTGTGTTCTGTACTAAGCATTTCTTAAGGGAATTTAAGTAGGCGTGGTCTTCATGTAATGGCTACTTTATTTTGATCATGCTAGCTCCCAGCACTCAGTGAATATTAAAATTTAAGTTGTATTTGATGAATATTCCAAGGGAAAGAGCCCCTCCTATTTAAAACTATAATGGAGAATTCAAATTACTCAAAGTGTGAAATAGAATGTGGCCCAAGCACAGACACGTGAGTAAGCCTGCGGAACAGTACCTGTATGATAACTGTGGGCAACACAAGGAAGAGAAATGCAGACTCCTCGAGTGGAAGACAGTTGATGCCATCATCTGCAAGCAGAAGTCCAACTGGGCAATGACAGCTCCCCTTGGATCGTGGGCTCAGAAGGCACAGATGAGAACATCCAGTGTCCAGACAAGGATTAGAAGACCTGGGCTGTAGCACATCGTGTATTATCTGGAAGAAAATGGCGAGATGTCACTATGCATTATTGAATCCTTATAAAACAGCAAATGAATAAATCTTGCTTTTTAATCATAGATGGATGTCACTACAGTTTGTACTTGGGAGCTCATACATGTAGCCTTCCCAGGGAGAATTAGGGAGATATTTTGAAGAGTACACTATAAACCTTGAGTCCATAAGGCTGTTCAAAACGCTTGATGAGGACAGCCCTGTTCTTGCCTGTCGTCTTCTTCATGCGCTGTACTGTTCTTGTCTTCATTTCAGACCAGAAGACTTCATCTTCAAACACAGCGACTGAAAAGGGGCTCTTGATTTGTGTTAGCTGCAACATCTAAAATGGTGATGGTGAGGTTTCTGGGATGAGTTTTATACAAGGCACATGACATTTCATACAAGCCTAATACCAAAAGAACACTTACGCTAATACCAGTACCATCTAGATTGGCAGAGCCAATACAGTGAAATTTGTCATCAGCCCAGAATATCTTCCAACTCAACTGGTCAAGAGCTATGCTAGTTGGCCAGCCAAGACCTTGATTGATGAGTATTTTTCTGCTGCTGCCATCCATTCCGGCTTGTTCTATTTGAGGTTCTCCTCCAATTTCAGACCAGTACATTAACCTATGTGGACAAAGTCAGCTTTAACATCAAGTATTACCTCACAGAAAATAACATCAATTCATTCCTTAAAACACTGACTTACAGCCCAATTATTTTTTCCTCAAATTTAAACTTGGTCTATTCCTTAAGCTTAATTTGTGAAGTAGTAAAAGAAGGTTCTCCTTGAAACTTTATGGTGATTGGTTCATCATCATTCCGGGGTAAAACATCTATAATGACAGCTGTACAAGGAGCCTAAGAAATGCATTAGTCAGTCCCTAGCCTGGAAAATATCCAGGGAATCTGCCAATCTTTTCTGGGCCAGAAAGTAGGCTAGTTCCATGGGCAGAGTGTGCCTCAGATCTCACTCTTGGCCATAAGCCATTAGATGCATCAGAAACTACTGGCAATTTCCTGAGGACCATGTCAACAGATTCCTGGTTGAAGGTGTTGAGAAGGTGAGAAAAGCAGAGGGAAGGTATCCGATCTGGGTTACCTTTGGATCCCGAGTTCTGCTCTATCTTTTTCTTATATTTCATACCCACATGGCCATCCCAATGAGGGCTTAGCTCTGACAAGTAGGAAATTTTGTCTCTAACTTCCTGGCCCTTTGCAGAAAGAAAGGACTCTAGATAGAAGAACCCAGTTTCAACTCCAACACACAATTATTCCGCCCCTCACCACCAATCACATCATTGTAAATTAAACACTACACCTAGTTCCATCCTCCTTCCTCCTGCCATGTTAAAGCCATAAAAATTCTCCATTCAGAGGTAGATTTCATTATTTTAGCAAATGAAAGACTAGGTGGGCCACCAAGTGAGCACAATTACATCTCACTAGACTGAAATAAAGGACTTTTTCCAGAAGCTTCCAAAACTACTAAGTGTATCGTTGACCCACATTCACCATAAGATCTAAAGTAAACTCGGATAAAGTTTCTATTCACTCGTTCTGTGTTGAGTGAACAGAACCAAAGTAGAACTAAGAAGAAATAACAAACTTAAAGGACTTGATCAGGCATTGTGACACCTGGACTTACCCATTTAGGGGATCTAAAGCCAAAGACCGTGGTTGATTCAAGTCATCATCTAGGACAACCGTGTGCTCAGATTTTCCTCTCCAAACAGCAGTCAACTGAATTGCCAAAATCCGGCCAGCTATCCCATCCACCCAGTAGAGATTCCTTCCAATCCAGTCAACCACTATACAGTCTGACTTTATCCCTGAAGAGAGGAAACCATTCCACATGTGTTCTTAGGCTCAATTAGAGGTTTGAGCTCACAGAGATCAGACTTGCTTGCCATGTTAATTCATTTTTCAACTTACATATGCATCTCCATCAGAGCAGTCTTCCCTAAAATGTTCCAAAGTACTATTTGTAGAGGAAGATGACCTTTACAAATAATGGCCACTGGCTGATAGTTTGGCTAACTCCCACGTCTATAGAGATGACAATGCATCTTTCCATTTCTATCCAAATAGCAAGCCTTAATCCCTTTTAGTTAAGGAGCTATAATTACACTAGTGTTTAGAATGTTAATAGCCACTCACTTTATTTTTCATGCTATGTGTACTTAGTAAAGGCGAGATGAAAGCCTACCCAGGGGACATACCTTTCACTACAGTCCCTTTCTTCTTTGTGTCCATGCTGATCCACTTAATACTTTCCGCACCAAGATCTGTCCAGAAGACTTTCTGCTCCACTAAGTCATAGTCAATAGAGAAAATAATCAGATTCTTGTCTGTAGCTGCCAGAATATCTTCTTTCAAGCTCCTCAGTCCATAGAGGAGCAGGTTAAACTGTACTGCCACAAGCAGGATTGGTTCAGTACCTGTCAAATAAGAACTGTTTTCAGCATGGCCCTAAGGAGTTTGAATGGTGAACCCCAGCGCTAGCGAAGGAATTAGAGGACAAAGTAGCTTTTACCTTCTCATTGCCAGGCCGGTGATACCAGCTAGCTGCTATCTAAGTAGTTCTTCCCTCAATGTAATGGTTAAGCTAATACCCATGGTTTGAAGATACTTAGAATAAAGGCATGATTAGCTTAAATTGAAAACCACATTTCTAATTAAATATTTGGAGGCAGGTGGGCAGAAGAGAAGTACTTGCCAGGACTTCAAACACTTATTCTCACTTCAGGTAAGGTTGACCCCTGGATGCAGAGGCCAGAGTTATAACAATGCCTTGTTAGTAGACACTATCAGACACAAACTCAGTCTGAAATATGAGGTATAAAAAGGGAGCTTCAGGAATGTGCTAGGCTTGCTCTGAAAACAGATAAAGTGGGCAGGAGGTTTAAGACCTGAGAAAGAGAGATTTGCAATGGTATTCCTGGAAGATTTAGGACCTCAAAGCTGGTGACTCAGGGCTTAGGAGGTGTTCCTAGCTCCTGTTTACCTGCTGCTTTACAGGTGTGGCCGTCAGGCTCCAGCGAGTAGCCAGGACGACAGGTACAGCTGTAGGAGCCCTCGGTATTGACACAGGTCTGACTGCACGACCAACCACCCGACTTCTGGCACTCATCTACGTCCTCGCAGATTCGGCCACTGCTGCTCAGCTCAAAGCCCTGCTCACAAGCACATACCTGAAAGGGGTTGGAAAACATTAAGACTCTGAAGACAGTACAACACTGATAAAAAGGCCTCAACCTTGCTATAAAAAGCACATGCTGATACACTCAATTTCAGCAATTCAAACAGTTCTTAGAACCAATTTCATTGTGAATACAGTCACTCTCTCCAACTTATCAGCTCTGCCGCACACCTCACACCCTTGCCACCACCATGGGTTCCAAGTTAACAAGTGTCCAGTTCAGCCTGGGACACCTAGAACCCCAGCAGAATCAGTGCGTGAAGAGGCACATAGACTTGACTAAACTGGTTGTCTACCAATAGAGATGTTACTATGACCAGACATGAGAGCACAGTGTTCTTCTACTCGCCCATCAGAATCAAGTTCACTATGCTCAGCCAGGTAACAATGCTGGACTAGAGCACAGGCAGTCCTCAATTTAAGGGCAGGTTATATTCCAAATACTCATATGGAAGGGACTTCCATAGAACTTCTTGCTTGGCCCCAAGTGCCACCCAGAGCTCACAGCTGGGGTGGGAAGGACCACAATGGTAGAGTTTCTGGAGGTTGGGTGGTAGGGTTCCAGAAGACATGAGACAGGGCAGGAGTTAGACAGGACTCACCAAGAGCCCAGAAAGGCTCAGACACAGGGACATTGGTGGATGGGTTAGGACATGACCCAGGTGAGACTTAGAACTTAAGGAGCAGATATGGACAGCCTGAAGGAGAAAGTTGTTCCCTTTCACTAAACCAAGTTTATTGCTGCTAGAGAACAGAAACTGAACCAACTCACAGGCCCGTGTGGGGACTGGTAGCAGGTGTGGGAACACTCTGCTTGGCTGCACACTGATGACGAGCACTTTCCACCTTCATCTGAGCCGTCGGCACAGTCCTCCTTCCCGTTGCACACCAGACTGAGGTTGAGGCAGGCAGAGGAGCGACACTGGAACTCAGAACTCGGGCACTTCTCTGGGGAGCCTGGAGAGGATGACTTGCTACTTTTATAGTCTACCTCCTTCAACATCCCTCCCACAGCAAGGCTTCCCTTGTGTTCAACGAGGACACCTCCATTCTGGTAGAGGAATGGATTTCAGGTCCTGTAGCATTTGCCTGCTGAGCTCGTCTCTCAGGCCGAGAGGAAGCAAACAGCAGGTGCCTTTTTCAAGCCCTTGCCTTCTCCCTCAGTGACAGCCCCCTGCACTTACACCCAGCCTCGTCACTGCCGTCCCTGCAGTCACGCTGCCCATCACAGAGCCACGAGTCAGGCACGCACTGGCCTCCGCTGGCACAGGACCACTGCCTGGAGCCACACCGAAGCTCCTCAGGGTCACAGTCCTGAGGAGACAGTGAGTGGCTCCGTCAGCCAGTGACCCTGCATTCAGAGCCCAGGAAAGAGTTCTTGAAGGAAGGGGAAGGCTGGGTTACAAGACAACCCTCAAGTCCCTTCTGCAACGAAGCCAGATAGAGCCTACAAACTCAGAGGTGACCCGAATCAGGAGAAACCGTGTAGCTGGAGTTTAGGTGAGGAGTTCTAGGTGATACAAACCTGGGTGGGAAGTGGTAAGCAACGTCTTATTTTGTCAAACTGACCCATCAGGAAGTCTTGATTTCATTTAAGAAACACAAGCAAAAGAACCTGCCCTAGAAACTCTTCTCTAGAATCCCTCCTACCACTTCTAACGCACACTGAAGCATATTAAAAGTTACGGCATCTTTCGCACCTAATCTGACTTGGATGCTCAGATCTGGGGCAGGATGCACAAGAGGAAGGGAGGGGGACATCTGTGTACCTGCTACACCCGGAACGTTTAGACACATTCTCAACCCCTCAGACACTACAAGGCGTATCTTGTACCCATTTTTCCAATGAAAAAGCAGAACCTTACGGAGTAAGTACTTTCTTAAGGTCAAATGCAAACGGTGGGATTCAAGCCCAGGCTGCACCTCAGACAATGTGTGAGCTGCAGTGTACTTCATGGTGACAGTTACCTGAACGTCTCTGAGTAGGACATTTAAGCCATGGTCATCAAGACCTAACACTCGCAAACCTCCTACAACAAAAGCCCCTTAAAAATTTGACCTTCAATAGGAGACTCTTAACACTCTGGACATTTTCACGTAGTTACGAGTGGCTTGCTGGGCAATAATTACAGGAGACTTCTCTGTTTTTGTGTTTTCCCAAGTTTTCTACAGGGAAGCATGTGTTACTGTTGTGATTAGACATCTACTTTATTTTTTGGAAACAAGAGTGGACTACCTTCTCATCGGTTCCATCTTTGCAGTCTAAGTCATGGTCACATATCCACTCTGCCAGCACACATTCTCCACTCCTCGGGCACTTCACCTCCCCTGAGGGGCACCGCAGGGGCCAGGCAGCAGGACAGCCTTCTTCATCCGAGTGGTCCAGGCAGTCACGGCTCCCATCACAATGCAGAGAGTAAGATATGCACTGGCCATTCCCACATCTAAATTCAGATGTGCTGCATTTTTCATGGACTGAAAAATAAAGCTTTAGGTAAGAACTCAGACAGATGTAGAAGGGACCTGATGGCAAATAAAATGGTTTGAAGACTCCCTGGTGTTCTGCTGTCACTTTGGAAACTCAGCCCCAGCAGGTATTAGGGCAGGAAGCTGGTTCAAGCAGAGTGTTAGGCCAGAAAAGTCCTACTAAGGTTGCCCAGAAAATCCTCTCTGTCCCAGAGAAGAAGGGCTGGGGAACAGGGATGGGAAGACATGTGGAAGGGCACCAGGATAGCAGGGTAGTGGGATTCTCCTCTGGGACCTTATACCATCTATGAGAAGAGAAATTCTCCCACAATATCCAACATACTCTACAATTTATGTTCTTGGACTCAAGGCCTACACATAGAAGTTGCTTGACTTGGTTCAAAAAAAATGGATCAGGTCCTAGGCAAAAGTATAAATATATATTGAAAAGTAAATTATACCTTGGGCTCCTCCCTACTTCTTTCCTGTATCTCTTTCCTCCTGATGTTCTTCTCATAAGCCCAGGTGAAGTCATATCCTCTGGCTACCCAGTCACCTCCACATCCAAATCTATCATGGTACCTTACCCAGCCTCCTGCTCTTCCCACTTCAAGTCTCCAAATTCTCTCTTCTACGCTATGCCCACAATGCAATGAAGGTCTTTGAAACAAGTCACTGGGAAGAATAAAAATAAAGTGTATAGCCCATAAAACTGAGGGGAAAGCAATGACACCTACACCCAAGATGGCCCATCACATGAGAAGACCTAGGACCAAAATTCAAATCTTTAAGAAGGTAGATTTGTGCTCAACAAGAAATACTACTTTATTTTGGTAAGTAGACTGGTTTTCCACTAATGGGAATCTGGTCATGGAAAACGTAAGGTGACAGCATGATCTCCAAGGAGCCTCTAATTCAGAAGGTTTCCTCTCAGTCTGTTAACTCTGCAGTCACTATAGTCCATCCTCATTATTTGTGGATTCAGGATTTGCACATTCACCTACTTGCTAAAATTTATTCGAAACCCCCAAAATCAGTATTCCCAGGCTTTCATGGTCATTTGCAGAGATATACAGAGCAGCAAAAATTTGAGTTGCCCGACACACACCTTTCCAGTTGAGTTGAACAAGGCAATGTTCTGCCTTCTTGTTTCAGTTCTCATACTATAAACATGTGTCCTTTCTGCAGTCTATTTAGGACCATGCTTTTCACATTTTTGTACTTTTTCGTGATTTTGCTGTTTAAAACAGCCCCCAAGTGCAGTGCTGAAATGCTGTCTAGTGTTCCTAAGTGCAGGAAGTCTATGATGTGCCCCATGGAGAAAATACATGTGTTAGATAAGCTGTGTCCAGGCATGAGTTGCAGTACTGCTGGCTGTAACTTCAATGTCAATGAGCCAACAATATACATTAAGTTGTCTTTAAACAGAAACAGACATAAAACAAGGTTATATATTGATTCACTGACAAAAATGTTGTGACCAGAGACTCACAGAAACCTCATTGTTTTTTCTAGAAGCAATGATTCAATATCTGCTAATTCAGTGTCTGTGGCAACTTTACAGAATGTAACTACCATGTATAATGCAGTTTGAAATACTTCAAGGAAGTTTCATGGAACTTACTACATCCCTGTTCATCTTTTTTGTCAAAACAGTCTGAATTGCCATCACACAGCCAGCTCTTAGGGATACAGCGGGTCTTGTTGTCACAACGCAGAGAACAATCCTCAGTGGGCTTCCAGCAGTCCAACTCATCAGACCCATCTAAGCACTGCCAAGCCCCATCACAGTGGTATTTCTCCTCAATGCACTTGTTTCCATCCAGACACTGGAAGATCCCTTAAATGCAAAGAGCCAAAAGCTAGCACCATATACTCAGTCATACTGAAGGTTTGAAATTAGATTAACGTACCCTCATTCTGTAGTTTGAGCTTTAACTAGACTGCATTTTATTTGTTTGAGTTCTATACCTTAGTTTATCCATAACCAAGCTTTAATAAAGTGCTCAGGTCAATTAAGTTAGCAAGCTGAATGAGGTTATTTAAATAAGGCCTCATATTTGTTTGGCTACTTTCACGACTTGTTAGAACATTACCAAGGCTGTCATAAGTGGTCATTCTATGGCTCAGCCTATATATATAAAAGCAAATATTGGAACACTTAAGCAAATGTGAGGAAGCAAGGAAGCAATAGTCACATTATACCTGGTAAAACACTTGACTTCAATGTGATAAAATGGACACTCACAGGATCAGTATTCTGACCGACTTATCTATGGTAATTTATCTAGGGAAAGCAAGTTTGATTATAATAAACACTCTGGCAATTCACACCATGCACTCAAAACTGTATCAGTATACCTGGAACAAAAGAATGAGAACAGGAGATGGTGACACACCTGGTTTGTTGCAGAACTGGGAACAGTTCTCTTCATCCGAGCCATCCTGACAGTCCTGCTCGCCATTGCAGAGGTTCTCCCGGGAAATGCATTCCTTCCCATCCCGACAGGGGACAGAGGATCGGGTGCACAGGAGAGGGGGTGGTGGAGGAAGAGTAGGAGGGGTGGCTGTGGCTGCTCCTTCAACCTCAGGATCTAGAATCAACAGTTGCTTCAGCAGGTTAGTCCATTAGGTTTTGGCAATGGTGATGTGCTTCTACTGTCCTCCTCCTCCAGAAAACCACGTCATGGCTGGGTAACCACACTTCCCTACCTCACAGGAAGAAAAGGTGAAACTGACCCAAGGCCTAGATCCCTAGATTAAATGGGGTACATTCGCCCATCATCTAATGGGCACTTTTTTTCTCCTTTCAGGTCTATTAACTTTAACCTTAATTTCTTCACTATCTGATGCTATATTCTAGGAATGAAAAATAAGGTAAGTTTCTGAAGATAGGGACTGGTTCTGCCTGGTTCCCCGCTATAGCATCTTGTGGTCTGGGTCAGGGGCCAGCATGACGTGGGCACTCATTCATTGGGATGTATAAGTGACGCTACTCAAAATTCCCAATTAGCACTCTTGAGAAACTATCACAGCAACCTAACCGACTTGTTAGTAGAATAATCAAAATTGGATTTCTTACCAAAAAGTCAACTGTTTATTAGCACAATTTACTACCTAAGAAATATGTTCCTATGCCTAATGCTTCTTAATCCTTAAGATCGGGTTAAACCAACCAGTGAATCAAAAAGCAAGCTAGTTTAGACAGAAGAGGGAGATGAGACCTCTATGGAGCAGGTACATAGAAACAGGAATGGTTCTGCCCCTCTTTGTTTCTACTCTTCCTTGGGACTTCCAGCTGCTTCTGCCAACAAAGCCCCCTGAATCCTGTGATAAGATTTCTTCTTTTTCTGCCTCAAGATCCAAGATCAGATTTTTTGGCTCTGTGTCAAAGGCTGATATGAAAAAAAAAAAGGTAAATCAGCTTTAAGGAAGTTAATCTGAATGAAAAGGTGCAGCTTCAACAGGAGAGCATTGCTTTTCCTGGTATCTGCAGCCCCAGGACAGCTTTGCCAAGGGTCCTCTGCAAGATGCTACTGCTATGGAAAAAGGGGGTTCCTTGGTAAAATCAGTTTGGGAAACTGGTTTAGAGCAAAAAAGCAGATCTCTTTACTGCCAGATTAAGAGCTTTAACACGCTAATGTGCAAGATGGTTCCCCAAAGAGCCTACGGTGTGCAAACTTCTTGGAGTATTGCACAGAGCCTTGTGTCACTTAGCATCTTTGAGCAATGTGTTAGATTCTTGCTCTTCTAGGACATGGACAGTTAGGGAGAAGGCCTGCTGAACTGTGGGTTGGAACAGCTGCCAATACAAACATAAAGATACCCAGGATTTTATCTTATAAAAACACACTGAGGAGACAAGGTAAAGTGGATCTCAAAGAATAACCCCACAGAGGAAGACTCACCTGGAACCTCCTGGTTCTCTGCCAGGATGATGATTTTCCTTATGAACGGCTCTTTTGACACCGAGAGGGGCTCCAGCATCCTTCTGTTCCACAGCACAAGAGCTGCTCTGTTCACGGTCACCAGGTAGGGCTCATGGGCGACTATGATGCCATCACTCCAGGTCTTGTTCAAACTGTAGGTTCTATTTTTCAGGAGACTCAGACTTTGCAACCCTAAGGAAGAGTAAAGTTCTTACAAGTTGATATAGAACAAGTAAGCTGTGACAGGGGGGAGGCATGGGTGCCATATGATTGAGGTTCAGTGACCCCAAACTGAAAATAAGCACAGATTCTTCCTATCAAGTTTTGTAGGTTTTAGTTAAAGACAGTCAAAGGAAGTGTTTAAAGCTCCAGGAAAGTGAGGTCTGCCATATGGGAACATCAGATGCGACTTTACCATCTTCCACATATATACTAAAACACCTGGTTATCAGCACGTAGCTGCCAGGCTGCAAGGATGGCTTCTTAGTGAGAAGACTAGCAAATCTGCCCACAAGGGATAACTTGTACTGTTATCAAGGTATACCTGAAGAACCTATACTTCATTTGCAATGGAAGTTTGGTTCCATTACTTCTTATAGAAGTCGAAACAAATTCTGAACACTGCAAAAAGCTATTAAGTATGTTATTTCTGAAGTATTCTCTTTTAAATCATATATTTAGGCTTATAGATGAGAATTGAGTTTGAGATAGGTGACCTGCGCCCCAGCTTTAACTATGAAAATCAGAATCTGAGCCTATGCCTAACTAGTTCTAAGAATGACTGGAATCATTATATCAAAACAAGACTCTTAGCCCCTCGAGCTTCTTCCACCTGCACTGGCTGTGCAGTGCTTACCTAACTCTTTGGTGGTCCAGAGGATGCTAGATGAGCCGAGGTCTAAGGCCATGTGGGTTTCTGCCGTCCAGGTGCCTCTCCAGACTTCCTGTCTGTTTTTGCCATCAAGGGTCATACTTTGCAAGTGCTTCTCACTTTCTACCCAGTAGAGCACCCTCTTTGGCCAATCAAGAAGAAGATGCAGTATAATGCTGCCCGTTCTGTAGAGGGTATGTGTGTCTGCGCCAGTGATTCTAGTCTTCTGAATAGCACTTCTGTCACAGGGCAGCCAGTACAAGTCCCCAGTTGATATGTCCACACTTGCTGAACAGACTGTAAGGAGGAAAAGTAACTCCCATTACAAAGGGCATTCAAATACGTTCATGCACTGTCTTAAGCTTTGAGTCAAGAATGGAAAAGAGACAATTAGGGGATGCAAAAACTAGTCACTAACAGCCTGTACACCTCATTCACCTTATGAGTCCCATCATGCCTATTCCGATTCCAGCATCTTGTCTGTCACATGAGCTCATCCAATCCTTATAACTACCTGGCAAGATAGACACTCACTGCATTTTATAGGTTAGATATCTAAGTGCCAAGGCTTGCATTTAAATGCAGGTCTGCAACTTCAAATTCACGTTCCTTTTCCTCATAGGTTAAGTATGAAAATCAATCAATTACACGTCAAGTGACTAAGACTGAAATTGCTATATAGGAAAGCAGAGACTGAGCTAAAGTGACACCATGACACTATGATATGAAAGGTCATCAGTAGAATGGATGGACAGTGAGGAGATCTACAACTAGATGACACAGATATGATAGGGACCAAGTATATTAAAGCCACAATGTGTCAGTTTTTAGATGTGAATAACCGAGTTAGGCACTAGCCTGCAGAGCACTCCCCCTACACCCATCCTGCCCACCATAGCTAGCTATACAATGGGGTCTGAGCTAGGTATTGCCTACTCTGCGATGCAGTGTAGCATAAAGGTGAGGAGCAGTATTAGGATAGCAAGTCAGACTACCTTGTATGAAACACAGTTCCATAATAAAGTGTCAGTTCATTTCTGTGCCTCAGTTTCCACAAATGTATGGTAGGGAAAGTGCTTCCCACATAGAGTTATGAGGATTAGAGTTTATACATACAAAAAGCTTAGAATAGTGTTAGTTGTTTTAGAGCAGTGTGCCGGACATAGCTTGCACAAGCTCATAACAGCCAATTGTTAAATTCAGGGATTCAGTAAACTTGTTGTTCAATACAGCTATTATTAAAAACTAAATTATATCAACTTAAATTGTATTTGAAACAAAACTAATAAATATTCAAATAATTGCCTAATCATTTTCCTACATTTTCCTATTATCTATGCTCTTGGTTATTTATATTCATTGCATCTGCATGGTTGAAACACTACATTAAAGCTTTGTTACTGCACACCCCTTCCCAACTCCATGTTCAGGGATGTTACATTGGTAGCTTGACATCTGGCTTTGTGGGAGTATTTACACCATGAAAATTGGCAAACTCTATAAATCAGGGCTTGGGTTGGCTTTGGTTGTGTTTTCTAGATCAGGGACGGGCAAATAACAGCACTTGGGCCAAATCCAGCCTATGGTCTGTTTTTGTAAATAAGTTTTAGTGGAACACAGCCAAAGCATTCACATATTGTCTATGGCTGCTTTTGAGACACAATGGCAGAGTGCCCAACAAGCCTAAAATATTTACTACCTGGCCTTTTACAGAAAGAGGTTGACAACCTCTAGTCTAGACTTAAAGTGATAGAGAAAATGTTAATATTGCAGATTAAAGTTACATGTGTTGTGTCTATAGCCATTACATTATTATTTTTGTGTGTGTGTGTGAGGAAGATCAGCCCTGAGCTAACATCCATGCCAATCCTTCTCTTTTTGCTGAGGAAGACCGGCCCTGAGCTAACATCTATTGCCAATCCTCCTCCTTCTTTTCCCCTTTTTCTCCCGAAAGCCCCAGTAGATAGTTGTATGTCATAGTTGCACATCCTTTTAGTTGCTGTATGTGGTACGCGGCCTCAGCATGGCTAGACAAGCGGTGCGTCGGTGTGCATCCGGGATCCGAACCTGGGCCGCCAGTAGCAGAGCGCGCACACTTCACCGCTAAGCCACGGGGCCAGCCCCTACAGCCATTACATTTTAAACACCACAACAAACTGAGGAAATATTTTTCTAGTATTTGAACACTATTATCCACTTCCACAAATAAGTCATTTATGTCATTGATGACTGGTTTTCATTGCTTCAGTTTCATCTCACTTGTTTACAGAAACACAAGTGTCAAACAACATTCACATCAAGACTACATTCAGTCAATGATGTCATCGACTTTTGTTAAATCAGGTAGCAATCCAGCATTTATTCATAGCTGGATTTTGTTAAATCTTGATCTTGATCTATACATTGCTTTTTTATTCTGAATTCTTGGATCTGTAGCCAATATGTGAAAGTTAGTTGGCTATATGAAATTTACAATAAAGAATGTTGTATATTTTATTATTTGTAAATTGTGTTGCACATCCTTTATATCAGTAAGCTTTATTATAAACATATGTAGGTAGATATATGCACACTTTTCCCCCTTAGCAAGCCAGTCATTAAATAAATCCCAGCACACCATTGGGTATTCTAATAAGAATTCTAAGGTTATCTACTAGGGAAGTTGACAAACAGGCAAGGCATGGAAGTGGGGCACGAGTGGCAGAATGGAGAAGCCAGTACACACAGGGCTTAATGTGCTATAAGTTCTTTCTACTCCTGGGTCTTAGGGTGGGAGCATACCTTTACTAATATTCCTCACATTTTCATGTGGAAGAACATGCATAAGATTGTACGTCTGAATTCTCCCCACATTCCCCAAGTCACTCCTTCCCAGGAAAGAAGTGTCTTAAGATTGGCAAGTTAGTAAGAACAGACTGGCCATACTCTGTTCAGCTTCTCTCTTCTTTGCTAGGCTCTGCCATCTGCAGAAAACGTGTGCTCTCCTCTGGAGGAAGATTTAACCTTGGCACTACGCTGATTCAAGGTGGCAAGTCCAGCTGCCAGGGTCACAAAATGCTCTTTGAGCGACGCTAGACAGGTTCTTAAAGACACGTACTCTATTCTAAAGCAGAGTTTTGAAGCCCTCCAATTTTTGATTAGGAATTTCATCTGTATTTTCCAGCCTCAGTTTTCATCATGAGGACAAGATTAACACACCCAAGAGAAAACAACGCTGACATCAGTATACTTTGATGTAAGGATAGCTGAAAGCTGCAATCTCATGGGTTGTAAGGAGGCCCTGAGATCTGTAAACAGGCCTAGATAGAACGCCTGAAGCTGATTACTATCTACAAAAGGCCTGCCCAGCTTTGTCAAGCTTTTCAGCCACTTTTTAGGAAAAACACTGCTGTGTGTCTCCTTGACCCATACAACAACACTTCTGACACCAAGTGGCTGGGTTTTTTCCCCACACAAAGCAATTCTGCAACACCAGCTGGGTGTCCTACAATTCAATTCCATTCTGACACTGTCTACCTGGAGTTAGCATCAGATCCCACAAGTTAAGGGCTTGGTCCCACAAGACTGTCCCCACCTTAGACACTAATCATAAGTCTCTGGTTGTCACCTGTTCTTCTGGCTCTAAATCGGGGTTCCTACAACCCCCTCCTTGAGTTCGACAATTTGCTAGAAGGGCTCACAGAACTCAGGGAAACACTTATTTATGTTTACTGGTTTGTAATATCAAGGATAGAGATGAACAGCCAGATGAAGAGATACATAAGGCAATGTCCAAAGGATCCTAAGTCCAGAATCTTCTGTCTCCTAGAGTTGGGGTGCACCTCCCTCCAGCGCATAGATGTGTTCACACCAACACAGAAGCTCTTGAACCCCATACTTTTGGGATTCTTATGGAGGCTTCATCACATAGGCTCACATAGGCATGATTATTAACTCCATTTCCAGGCCCTCTCCTCTCTCCAGAGAATGGGGAGTGTGGCTAAAAGTTCTAAGCTTCTAGTCATGGCTTGGTGTTTCTGGTGACCAGTCTCCTAGGGGCAGTGATAAGGTTTTTAAGATTTTTCTGGTCTTAGGTCTGGGTAGGGTAGAAATTGCATTGCAGAACACACCAAGAGTTGCCTCATTAGAACAAAAGCTGTTCCTATCACCCAGGAAATTCTAAGAGATTTAGGATTTCTATGTCAGATACTCCTATCACTCAGGAAATTACAAAGGTCTTAGGAGCTCTGTGCAAGTAACTGAGGACAGTGACAATATATATTTATTATTTCAGAGCCACCTACCATAGGGACCAATATTCAATACAAGACCCAGCTCAAATGAAATGGTCAGCCTCTTATAAATCCTTGATACAATAATTGTACCCAAAAACCAATTAGCAAAGATTACCCAGGGAGGGGAAGGTAGCATTTTAATTAAGTGGGAAGAAATTCACGATCAGGGGTTTCCTAGACAGTCATTAGATGTATCACAAGACCACTGCCCATTTCAGTTTCTCCTGAAAGTTCTCTAGGTCAGGGTACTGGAAGCTCTTAGGTGCCAGGCATTGTGCTTGCCCACAAGGTAGCATCTACTGCTCTAAAAGATGTCTCAGGAATGTATATTTCAATACAGCACTTCTTGTAGTAAAGCATGTAGTCAGAGTCCCCAGGGCACACACATTCAGAAATCAAATTACTCACCCCAGAGCTCAAGTCTCAGTTCTCTTTTACAAAGTAGATGTTTGCATTTAGGCAGAGTACAGGGAGCTAAGGGTAGGGTGTGGCATTTAGGAGTGTGGGAGGGGAGAGAAAGTATACATCACCATATTAAGAAAATATCTTGCTAGTTCTCTCTGAAATCTGCATTGCAAATTACCTCTAAATTAGTGTAAGAAAAATCTGCAATGCAAAATTGAAGTATTTAAGGTCTATTTCTCTCCTACCCAGACTTCAGGCCAGAAAAATAGAATTTTAAAAACCTTACCACTGACCCTAGGATTTCCCAAATCACGGTAGCCTTTTAACACTCTGCATGCCCCTCATAAGAACAAGGGTAAAGCAGAGACACTTAATATTTAAATTAGTTAAGACCACTCTTTGGCATTAAGGTTGATTCAGATCAGGAACAGGCAGGACTTAGTGGCTCCAGTTCTAGCTAATTTTAAAGTCAGAAAATAAAGGGGAAAACCCAAAATAGCCACTCCCACTTACCTCTATGCTCTGTCCAAATCTCTTGCTTTTCTCCTGAATAGCCAGTTGAGCAGAACAGCTGTCCCTTAGCATTTGTCCAGTAGACAAGGTTTCTTTTCCAGTCAATATCTAGTAAATAGATGTTCCTAGGATGCTCTTGAACTAGAGTTTTTTCTATAGCAGTTCCCATAAAACCAACTTTCAACAAGTAGAGATGTTTGCCAGAAGAAAATACAAGTTTCAACTCTACCAGGGAAAAGAGGAGACTTATTACTTGACTATTTGTCAAATAAGCCCCCTACTCCCTTCTTGAGCAATGCCCCTCCCTCGAGCTGAGGCACCCACAGGAAGGGATCTTATCAAGTTCACTTCTGAAGCACACAGACAACATGAACGCTCTAGTTTCCTTAAAGCAGTCAGTCATTTGGGCAAATGAAAGTGTTGCTCAGTTTTCTCAAGGCACTAAGTCTTTGGAATTTCTGCTGAAAGGTTCACACAGAATCATGAGGATTAGGGCTGGAGTGATGCTCCATTTTATTCAGGAATGTCATCAAATCCTTGCTTATAGTACACAAGTCTCAGTGCAAAGAATTTTAAACTCTATTGCCTATTTAAAGAAAAGTTACTTGGGTATTTAACTGTATATATAATGTTCAAAATACAATTTAAGCTGAAGTCTTGAGTTTGGCACAAAAGCTTATCACACCGTGATTGCATTCTATGGCTACCCCTGTGAACTGCATTTTTTAAAGATAGTTAGAACATGAACACATTTATGTCATTTGTTCCTCTGAAAACCTCAATGTTCTATAGAAAGAAGTCAAGTAATTTGGATAGAGATGTTCAATGGATTATGTAAAGATGTTCCATCTTTAATGTTTCAAAGATGGAACAGCAACGTGAAGAACTTATGTTAATATTGAAGTAGATGCTCTGCTTACAAACAAGTCAGAACACACAATAGTCATAAGATTATAGATTTCTTTCTTATATCAACTTGGTCATTTATTTTTCACGTAAAACTGAGTGGGGTAAGCTATTTATTCCTGTTTTAAAACTAATGAAACCCAAGTCTATTGAGGGATGAATGGATAAACAAAAGGTAGTATATACATACAATGGAATATTATTCAGCCTTAAAAAGAAAGGAAATTCTGACACGTTGCAATATGGATGAACCTATGCTAAGTGAAATAAGCCAGTCACAAAAGGACAAATACTGTATGATTCCACTTATATGAGGTACCTAAGGTAGTCAAATTCATAAAGACAGAAAGTAGAATGGTGGTCACCAGGGGCTGTGCCGAGAGAGGAATGGGGAGTAATTGTTGAATGGGTATAGAATTTCAGTTTGGGAAGATGAAAAAGTTCTGGGGATGGCTGGTGGTGATGGTTGCACAAAAATATGAATGCATTTAATGCCACTGAACTGTACAATTAAAAATAGTTAAAATGGTAAATTTTACATTATGTATATTTTAGCACTGATTGGTCTAGTGGTTAAGAATAGGCGATCTCGGGCCGGCCCCGTGGCTTAGCGGTTAAGTGCGCGCGCTCTGATACTGACGGCCCGGGGTTCGGATCCCGGGCGCGCACAGGCGCACCGCTTTTCTGGCCATGCTGAGGCCGGGTCCCACATGCAGCAATTGGAAGGATGTGCAGCTATGACATACAACTGTCTACTGGGGCTTTGGGGGAAAAAATAAATAAATAAAATTTAAAAAGAATAGGCGATCTCAATGCCGCAGCCCAGGTTCGCTTCCCAGTCAGGGAACCACCCCACCCATCTGTCGGTTGTCATACTGTGGCGGCTGTGTGTTGCTATGATGCTGAAAGGTATGCCACTGGGATTTCAAATACCAGCAGCATCACCCATGATGGACACGTTTCAGTGAGGCTTCCAGACTAAGATAGACTAGGAAGAAAGAACTGCCACCCACTTCAGAAAAAATTGGCCATGAAAACCCTATGAATAGCAGCAGAGCATTGTCTGATATAGGGCCGGAAGGTGAGAGGATGGTGCAACAAGACCGAGCAGGGTTCCACTCTGCTGTCCACAGGGTCACTAGGAGTTGGAATTGACTCCACAGCACTAACAACAAATATTTTAGCACAATAAAAAAAGAAAAAAAAAATCAAGGTCTTTTGATAACAAAACTTGTTATCAAAGTAGGTTGTCAGTATAAAAGTGATTGATCCAAAAATGGAAGCTACATTATTTCCAGGCCTACCAGGGAACGTGCCTCCTTGAGCCAAGCCCATTTCACCCAGCATACTTACCATTACATGTACCAGAAGGTAAAAGAAACATTCCCTCTGGACAAACACACTTATAGCCCTTGGGATGGACGGGAGACAGGAGACACAAGTGGCTACAAGAACCTGGAACACATGCTGGGTATCTGCCTATTTTAAAATAGAAACAGGTAGATACAATTTCAGATTTATTTATCCATACTAGTTCAAAAATTAATACTCAAGGGGAGTTAAGTCATTTTTGCCTTAAGAGGAATCCCAGTGTACTTGTTACCTTCCACGTTAGGCATGCTGATCTCTGAATGCCTGTGGTCTCCTGTCTTTCTGATAGTGACAATTACCTACCTATATTGAGCTCGGGCCAATAAAGCTTCAACCAACAGCATCTTCTCCCTTAGAGTTAAGGCAAAATGACTGTCTAGCTTGCTTATAGGAAGACTCTCTTAGAAGGAAATAGCGGTCTAGGCTCTCTACTTTAGTTAGTTTCTTGGACCCATTTAAGCAGCATTATCTGAGTTGAATCTGACATATAATTTCAGATTAACAAAAGCTTTCAACTCCTAGTCAATGAATATTTGACTTCCTTCGATAAGCAGGATGCTGGGCTTGGTTCAATTTTCTGTTATCAATTCACCTGTCAGTGAGTAAGTTATTCTAGCGCTTCTGTGAACAGCTTACTACCTTGTTTTGTCTATTTCAGACATTAAAAATCTGGTTGCTACATTGGACAAGCATAAGGTACATGCCTGGAATGAGTTTCCCAGTAGATGTTTTTGTTCAGTTCATCTTACTTAGAAGTCCTGTATAAGTCTGAAATGATACCAAGAACGTACCCCCGCCTCAAAATAGCAAGTTCCAACAACAGACTGAGGTAGTAATTTACGTAGTTTCCATTTAATATGCATTCTGATTCATAAGCATTTCAAAAGCAAGCTGTTGACTTACTCTTAGGCTGCTGGGATTTGTGGAGGACTGAGAAAGCAGATACGGAGGCATTTAGCAGCACCTCTCTCTTCTTCGGGGTGTGGGGTGAAGTACAAAACAGCTGTATTTTATTTGCCCAGAAGAAAGAGTTCTCAAATACAGCTAGTCCTACTGGATCTTCACCTTCCAAGAAGACCTCAGGAAAGGTGTGCCTCCCGCTGCCATCCACGTTTACCGTCTCTATGGACTGCAGGTTAGAGAGTCTCATGAGAGCATGGATGCATTAGCCAGAGATGCTGACAACGTCAGTGCACCCCAGTTTCTTGGAAACTGATTCAACATCTTTACGTGATATCAACTTGATAAAGATGAACTCATCTAAGGATTCATGAAGGCTCACACCAAAGCCAGTGGATTGGACTGCTTCTTGTACAAACTGGGGTCACAGATACGTTGTACAAGTAGCTACAATAACTTATTGTCCACATCCAGACATTGTCCCAAATCCTTTCACTACATTCTCCAACTGCCTTCTGAGGTAGGCATTCTATCTCTTTTCAGAGAGGGCAATGGGAGCTCAAAGAGCTCACCGTAAGTAGCCAAAATCACAGCTGGAGGTCATAGGCTTAAAAACATGACTCCCAAGCCTCTGCTTTTAGCCACCATGTCATATTGGTCTTTTAGTTGGATGCTTCCAAAAATTAGATAACATAAACTAGAATATTAAGACCTAGAAATACGAGTACCAGACACTGAAGTACTTAAGTAACTGCATGCTTTCAAGGAAGTGGACTGCCATCTTAAAAAGGTTTTGTATCCTAGGTACAACATAGAACATGACCTATACTACCAGGAAATTCCAGTGCCAAGTTTGACTGTAGAGTATTTAAGAAAGTCACACTAAGTCTCCAAGCCTATGTTGATACAGTCTGGCTCTAACTAAACATACCATGCAATTATAGCTTGCTGTTCTCAATTTTCATGGCCAGAAGATACCTCACCAAGTTGGTGTAAGACTTAAGAGAACTTGGTACTTACCCACCATCACCCCAAGCCCCTACTGAAAGGGTTTCCCTTTTCCTCCTAACCTATCTATGGTACCTCTTTAAATTTACTGATCCAGTAGAGCCTGCCAATCACACGGTCAAGTGTCAGTCCCACGGGTTCCTCCATGTTCACAACCGCAAGCACCTTCCTATCAGAGCCGTCCATCCCTGCAGTTTCAATAGTCCGCATGCCTTTCTCACCTCGATTTACCCAGTACAAGTACCTGAGGACAGCAAAAGTGCAAAGGGTTAGAGAAGTCCTCAGCTGCACGTACATTATCCTGAACAGCCAGGCTCCCTCAGCTCTCTCGCACAGGCCTCGTATCATTGCACTGCTGAGAATGCTGGGTATTTCTTCTCTTAGACTCAGACTTTGAAAAGTTTGGCTCTATAATATTCAATTTAGACTTCAAAATTAAGAAATTTTTGGAGCAAATGAGACCTAGGTTGAAAAGGCTGAAGTGTTCTTTTATCAACTTAAATATCTAAGATAACCAATGATTTTGGATATATTCCAAGAAACACTACTTACTTCTTTTCAGGAAACACTATCAGCTGCTCTGGCACCAGATCCTTTTCCAAGATTTTGACGTAGCCTCTACCATCACTTAAACCAGCATAGATGACCCTTGCGAAGCTGCTAGCCCAATACAACTGTCCCGTGAACCAGTCCAAAGAGATACTGTTCACTGTTTTAAGTTCTGGGGATACAGGAGAAGTGTTATGTTCCTGTATTCTTCTACACCCATCTTACTTTGAAAAGAGAGACTCGGACAAAATGTTTCTACATCTGATTTCAAGCTATACAACGAGGCAAATAGGACACAGGGAGTGAGGGCCAGAGTTGTGCTAAGGTGTTTCCCACATAGAGTGGGCAGAGGGAAAGAGAAAGACCTTAACAGAAGCAGAACCAAGGAATCCAAGAGAATGTGACCTCACTTTGGGGCAATATTTATTACAGAAGTTTCCGGTGAATTGCTATGAAGTCTACATCTTAACTGCTACCAGAGGATTTCTATGTGCCAAGATCTATGCTAAGCACTTCCTTACCAGCACTGTCTAGATTAATCCCCATGCTTACCCAAAGAGACGAGGACTATTACCCTCATCTTAGAGAGGGCAGTTCAAAGGAGTTAACAACTTGCCCAAGGTCACATACCTAATGATGGGGCTGAGACTAACCTTGGCCTGAGTCCACATACTCAAATTTTCTGTACTGCTTAACAGTGATTTAATTATCAAGTTATGTTCTATGAAGCTCCTGTAGAGCCAAACTACATAGTCTTATCTCAGATTGAGCTTCTATGTACTCTCATGATTCATGACAAGTGAGTCACAGAGGAAGGTGCCTGGATGAATACATACACTTCTCACATTATGTTTAAGTAGCTTTAAGAAACTAGGCCTCTTAACACCAAGAAATATACCTGGATAGAGGGGAATGGAGTTTGGCTTCCCAAGGACAAACACATTTAAGACTTCATCCACCCAGAAATACATGCTTCTCTCAAGATCATATGCAACAGAAGTCGGCCTTGATTTTATAGGTATCAGAGTCTCATAATTGCCTGTTCTTCGATGCAGGACACCAAGCTCTTGATCTGCTGCGATAAGAATTTTAACAGCATCATCTGCAATAGAAGTAGGGACACATTACTTTGAAACTTTCTTTCACATCATTCTCTTTAAATATGTTATCCCATCTCCCATGCCAAAATCCACTTATCTCTGAAGTCTAGACTGAGGCATATCCAGAAGAGATCTAGTTGACCACGTTAAGTCTCTCTTCCTCCTCTGAACTCGAGCACATTAAAACTAATCTTTGGAACTTTACTGCCTTATTTGATTTCAGATTCAGCCCTTCTCCCCAGCTAGACAGAAGTCCTCTCCATGCCTTGTATATAGTAGCCAAATGTAATTAAGTGCCCCAGCGATAAAGAAGCACAGGCCAAATTAAGATTATGTTGGTTGGGTCTCTGGAGCACCTAGTTGTAGAGCCTATAGAATAACTAAGTCATTTAAAAGATATTTAATAGCAACTGACACTCCAGTTGGCCAAGGAATGTTATTAATAGCAGCTTCTTTATGGAAAGAACAAAGTCATCTCTAACACTAAACCTTAAAATGGATCATCTATATCACTTTTATCTATAATTACTGCTAAGAATAGAGCAGGAGCTGGCTTTGCTTTCAGTATTGAAACTCACCCATAACTCGACAGTCGGTGCCATTGAAGAGCTGGTGACCTTGAATACACTCACAGGAGTAAGAGCCTGGTGTATTATGACACAGCTGTCCACAAGGACTGTAGGCCATAGAGCACTCATCTACATCTGAAGACAGAGAGCCAAAAGTTAGAGAAGACCCAGGAACAATCTCTTGAATATTTTTGGTTTTTTGGGCCACTTTTCAGATACTGACTAGACATGCATTATGTGGAAGTCACTGTGCAGGTGCTGGAATAGACACTCCTTGCCTCCACAGAATGCCCACGCATGTGAATGTAATTCAGCAGAAACATCACATAGGGACCCTAGATGTTTGGTTGATACAGAATACTGATCTATGTTACCCTAGCAACATTCTTGGGGACGTGTCACTTGTCAAGCCAGCCAGAGCCTAATTCAGAATGACAAATGTTAAGGCCTAGAGTTCACTACCGTGCCATGTGACATCTCATCCAAAACGATGGAAAGGGCTTAAGCCTCACAGGTATAACTGGCAGAATTTAGATAAGGTACTATCCTTTCCTAGTACTTAAAGCGGGATGGCAGGGACCCTGTAGAGTATGAGTCATAGGACTAGGAGAGATTTTTTTTTTTTTTTTTTTTTTTTTTAACAGGAAGGAATGTGGTTCCTTGGGGGCATTGCCAGGAAAACATTATTCCTCCAAAACCATAGAATCCTAAAGTAGAACAATGCCTTCGCAGCCCAGGGGAAGAATAATTAATATATGGCCACAAGTCAAACTCAGTGGCCAATCAAGCCCCACAACGAGCCATAACCCTAAAAGGCTGCTGCAGAAGCCTGGGCATGTGTACAAAACCCAGACCCCTCCAAGGCCATGACCAGATACTAACTTCCGACTTCCAATGAAGAAGCTCATTACAATTCTTGATGAATTGTTAACACCAAAGTCATTGTTAAATGTAACTCTGATGCTGTCTAATAACCAGGGCCTTTCCTCTTTATCCTTCCCACCCAAGCTTGTAGGGCTGCAGGTAGAACCCACGAAGAGAGAGGGGACTACTGAATAGGGGTCATTGCCCAGGCTCAGGATGGCAGGGCTGATCTACTCTTAGGCCAAAGCATTAAGACAATAAGTCTTTTACCCTCCTAATCACATTTTAACCTAAAATATGGTCCCATATTTTTATGGACAAGTGCTACAAAGCAACAGCCATAACCTGTTCATATTGTTACTGAAGAATGAAGATATATGAAATTTATTTTAGCCATTCTGGCATAATAATCCCATTTCACAAAGGGAAGAAATGCGACTTCAAGGATTGAGTGACTCAGAGAAGGTCAGCCAGCAGGAACAAGCAAGGATAATACACAGTAGGCTCTAATTTCAGAATCTGCCCTACCACCCACACCACAGACCTAGGCATGGCTGTGAAGTGATAAGCGTATTTATTCTATGAAAGAAACCCTTAAATTCCATAAGAGAAAGCTGCTAAATTTAACATTTTCTCATTAGTCAACCGTTGACCTGCAATTCTCACAAAGGAGGATAACAAGCATTGACAAGGATGTGGAGAAATTGGAACCCTTGTGCCTTGCTGGTGGGAATGTCAAATGGTGCAGCCTCTGTGGAAAACAGTTTGTTGGTTCTTCAAAAAGTTAAACATAGAATTTACCATATGATCCAGTAGTTCTACTTCTAGTACGTACCCAAGAGAATTGAAAACAGGCACTCAAACAGATATTTGTTCACCAGTGTTCACAGCAGCATTATCCACAGTAACCAAAAGGTGGAAAAAACCCAAATGACCATCAACAGATGAATGGATAAAATGTGGTATATACATACAATGGAATATTATTTGGCCTTAAAATGAAGGAAATTCTGATACATGCTACAACATGGATGAGCCTTAAAGACATGCTAAGTGAAATAAGCCAGACACAAAAGGACAAATACTGTATGATTCCAATTACATGCAGTAATAGAATAGGTAAATTCAGAGAGACAAAAAGTCAGTAGAAGTTACCAGGGGATGGGGTAGGGGGGTCTGGGGAGTTATTGTTTGGTGGGTACAGAGTTTCTGTTGGGGTGACAAAAAAGTTCTGGAAATGGATAGTGGCAATGGTTGCACAACACTTTGAATGTAGTTGATGCCACTGAACTGTACACTTAAAAATGATTAAAATGGTAAATTTTATGTTATGTATATTTTACTACAATAAAAACTTTTTTTAGGGCCGGCCCCGTGGCTTAGCGGTTAAGTGCACGCGCTCTGCTGCTGGCGGCTCAGGTTCGGATCCCGGGCGCGCACCGACGCACCGCTTCTCCGGCCATGCTGAGGCCGTGTCCCACATACAGCAACTAGAAGGATGTGCAGCTATGACACACAACTATCTACTGGGGCTTTGGGGGGAAAATAAATAAATAAATAAATAAATAAATAAAACTTTTTTTAAAAGGTGAGCCAAATGAATTCTGACCTCCACAGCTCTGACGATCCAGCTGTAATTGCCATCCAGTCCCACACGAACACTGGACACCCCAGCTTGTGTCACTGCACTGCCCCTCACAGCCCCCGTTGGCCAGAGAGCAGTTTTTACCTGGTAGAGACAAGACAGTGGTCAGTACATTTGAACACGGTAAAGATAAAATGTTTTACAAATCCTGTTGTGTCACAACCCTTTTTACTCTTATGAGAACAGATGACTGGTTAAGAATAACCTTTGACTCTGACCTCTTACTTAAGAATATGGAGGCTTTAGGGGAAGACTGTAGAAGAGGGAAAGTCAGGAGTCACGGGGCAGGGGCAAGGCATTTCTTTCTAGGCCCACGGTCTGGACAATTTCAAGTGTTTGTGTACTGTTCACCCAGGGAGGGGCCAGCAACCTCTTCTCTATTTTGTCTAGAATTTATGGTGGCTGCCACCCTTACCTCAGGAAGTGATATAATAATTTACTGTCTACCCAATAAATTATCTATACAGGACCAGAAACCTGTACTTTGTTCCACTGTTTAGGTTCTTAGAATTTCTTATGTGTTCCTTTAGTAAAAAGCTTCTTTCGCAGCCTTTAACAGTACTCAAGAGGTTTCATCATACATGTCTAAGACCAGATTTTGGGGGGAAATAGGGGACAGATGACAAAATGACTTGGAGACAGATGCTCACTCTTCCTCTACCCCTACTTATGGATTAAGCCAGAAACACAAGGGTTTAAAAGCTGGAGCTGCTTGCTCAGAAGCCCCACCCCCTCCTCACCAGGAAATAATCTTCCTAGCTCCTTTCTCTGTTAAATCCTTAGAGAATTCACCATTTTGTCCCCAACAAATGATTCGCTTCTCGGTGGCAAAGTTTCTATTCTTTATTCCAGAATTTTAGGAGTAATATAGTTTGAAGTGTTTAGTCTATTTCCCTAAAGCTTCAACATGAAAATAACTCTCAAAGTTTTACAGCTTAGGTAATATTTGCTCACTCTCAGGACACCAGAGCCAAGGGCTGGAACTTGTAAAATGTGAGGGATCCATCATTGAAGGATAGCTCCTTATGTAGGAGTTTTGGTCCAAGCATTCTCTCAGAGAGCAGACCCCTATGATATCTAAGCCACTGAGTTCTTTAATCTTATTCTCCCCACTCCCACGTTAAGCCAAGCAATTGGTTTCTTACCACATGTGGTAGGTTCATCGGTGCCATCTGTGCAGTCTGCTTCCCCATCACACATTAGGGATTCTAAGATGCATTTCCCTTCATCACATCTAACCATGCCTTCTGGACAGGAATCTGTGTAGGAAGTTAGGCATTCTTTTTCACTAATACTTATAGTGGGGGGTAGAAATAGACCACCCTTACAGTGGGCACGGTGGTCATATTTCTATAACCCAAGGCAAGTCTAGGTAGGACAGAAAGTTTTATCTTTTCAGCCAGATTTTCATGGAATTGGGACTTTAGACTTGATAACAAAGAGGTTAAGACCTCTGGGCACTGGATTGAAATGGCATTAATATGAAATTTAGCTAGTATTAAATAGTTCTAATTGAAATGGTATTAAAGTCAGTCAACACCAGCCCTAAAAGAAGTATTCTCCTAAGAAACAAGCTTATACTTATTATAAAAATGTTAGAATTTGAATATATTCAATATTGCAGATTTAACTCTAGAAAAGAAAGACTGAATGGGATTGTGGTTCACCAAGAAGTTGGAGGTTCCACTGCACTGTGTATGTAAACTAAAGAAATGTAGCACTCACCAACTTCTTTGTGGGGGCTTTCCTCCTTTAATGAGGACCCTTCCCCTTCCATATGAACTGCACAAGGATGTGAGGCATCTGTTAGGAGGCCTCATTAAGACACCGATGCTCAGGTGTTCTGTGCGTTGGCCATAACTGAATAGTGGAAACATTCTAGGCAATGCTTCGAGTGTCCATTGCAGAGTCACTATTCAAGACTGCTTTATGTTTCCATGGATAACTAACTCTTGGTTACTGCTAGGAAACATCCTGTTTTTA